GGGGGGGAGTCAGGGCTGGGTCTGGGCTGGAGGGCAGGCCGGAGGGGCTTGTATCCAGCAACAAAAGTTCTCCCTCTTGCTGGCAGAAAGCTGGGGGGGGTGGGGGGAAGGGGAGTGGGACACACAAAGATCTTCCTGTCCTGTCTGCGGGAGAAAGGGAGAGGCGGGTGCATGTAGCCCTTCTGCGGCTGGTTTGGCTCCGTGGGAGACCACCTAGCTGGAAAAAAAAGGGCTTTTAAAAATATTAAAGGGCACGAGAACGTTTTTAGACGAGATTCGTTTGAATGAAGATGCTTCTCAGAGGACAGGTTGTCTGAAAGGTCGGGTTTAAGTCTTTGCTTACACAGTGCAGAGATACTCAGGTACATTTTTACATATCCTGTTCCCCCTTATAAAAGGACGTGTGTTAAATATGTTTGTGTTCGGTTTAATTCCCCCTAATCTAAAGAGCAAACAAGCTGACAGGCAATTTGTGTTACAAGCGTTTCTTGTTCTTTTTAGAGGTCCACGGAAGGACTTAGCATTTCTGTTTTGCTAGGAAAAGGAGCCAATGTCAAGTTTTGTTAAAATATCTTGCAGGCTTTACACAGCCTATAAAAATGTATGTAAGCTCTTTTCCCAATAAGGTTATATACGTGTATATATTTGGTGTGTGCTTGCAAATAATTTTCTTATTATTAGTTGGCGGGAACTCAGAGTGTAAAGGTCAGTGTTGCTGTGACTTTTTGGATTCTGTATGGAGAGGAAAGGGGGGCTGTGTCTCTCTGGTCAGATACAAAGAGCGTTGCAGAATTAAACCTCTTCAGAGTCCTTAAACTTGCAGCAAAACCGCCGGGAATTTAAAGTATTTGCTTAGTATGTATTTATAACTGAAGATTTTTATTTCCCATATTGGAGTCTTACCATTGCCTCGTTGTTTACAGACTTACTTAAATTTACATCTGGACTTCAACTTTAAAGGTATCGGGGTGGTTGGCCAGTCCGCTGGCAAGAATTTTGTTGGCAAGGTGTTAGCTGGTGGGTTGTCTGAGAACTGTTCTCTGATGTTTTTAACGAGCCCTTTGCATCGGTTACCATTTGGGGTGCCCCGCTGTGCATCCATCCAGCAAGGATGCTGAAGCTGTTCCTGGGTTTTAGTGGCTGGTTGGAAGGTCTGCTGTCCCTGGGGGGTGCGTCGAGTGCTGTTTAAAGAGCAGAGTAACAGAACTGTGTCCTGTTTTGTCCAGAGGGATAGAACAAAGATGACTTTGGGGGGGAAAAATAGGGATTGTTTTAAGGTGCAGTTGTATGGAATAGTTTTGTAAACAATAGGATGCGTCAAGCAGAAAACACTGTGTGTGCGCTGACAAACAGCACGTCGTCGTTATTGTTCTATGAGAGCCTGTTACAAGTTGTTAAGGATACTCTTTTGAGATGATTGAGTGGGAATACTATGTGCATACTTTGACTTTAACACTCTAGGAATCAGATTTTTTTCCGTAGATGCTTATATCCTGGAATAAGCAGGCTAATAATGACAAGCGAAATCACGTACGCTGGGTTTGCACTTAAGAATAGCTGTATTAGTCACATTGACTGTCCAGTTTAGGATCCTCTTATGCAGTTGCTGATAATAGAGCTCTAGTAGAAGGCACAGGAGATCTTTTTAGGGGACAGTTACAGAACAAAGTTTTGTAAGAGTGGTGTGTTTCTTTTTCCCGTTGGTAATGGGCCTGTAATTTGAAGCATGAGATTTTAAATCTCCTGATTTTTGTATCGTCTCCGTGGTGTGTAAATCTTCCTTGAGCTGCAGATCTGTTTCCAGGAGTTAGCTTTGTGACTTCACGCCTCCCTTGCTCCAGTTTAAACTGTAATTTGCATCCCATCTTTAACTGCATACAGATAAATTAACTTTGTTAACAGACGCAGATTGTCAGATTTACTGGAGAGGCCAAGTGAAAAGAAGAGGTTGCTATATGTAGAAGGCAAGGTTGCTCTGTCCTAATGTGGTGTTCATTGTAAAAATGTCATTTTCACAGGAAAGAAACCAGAAGTGTGAAGATAAGCTCAGCTGTTGATAGTGTTAGCCTGGTGTGGAGAAATGCAAGCTGGTGTTTCTTTGCTTACCCATTATGTGTATTGTGGTAGCGGTGGGGAAGTAAAGATGGAAAGGATTTACACGGCTGTTTTAGCCAGTCAAAACTGTGTCATAATTGCTTTTTTTTTTTTTGGCTTGACTCTGTGGTATTGCACCCACAGTGTTAACAATTTTTTTTGCTGCGCTGTTTAGCTAGTGCTATAGTGGCCTTAAACTTGACAGAATATTAGGGTATCATGAAGGGAGGAGTTTCTTATAGCACCTGTTGTCTTCATCTGCATGATTTGAAGACTTAATTCTGGGCTTGTATCCAGCTATAATGATGTCGAGACAGTAAGAACTTTGTATGTAACTGAGCATTCCAGGCTGCAAGTTTGGGGTTTTTTTTGTTCTTTTCATTCTATAGCTCATATATGTGTCTTCTGTAATGTTATATGAATTTTCTAGTTATTTCGGTGTGTAGAAAATGAGAACAAAGTGGTTCTAGCACGTTTTGGAAAGCTCGTCTGTCTAGAGTGCTGATTTTTATTTCGTCTAGGTCTCTGAGCTGCTTAGGGAGAAACTTCTAGTAAACGGTTGAAGAGAAACAAGTGAATTCAGCTTTGCTCGTTTGAATCGCTGGTTCTTTCAAGCTGCAGCAGCAACACAATTGCTGTGAGTAGCAGCAGTGACTGACTACGAATCGCTGGTTCTTTCAAGCTGCAGCAGCAGCACAATTGCTGTGAGTTGCAGTAGTGTATTTCAGTCATGTTGCCTGGAGGTGGATTCTGAAGAGAAGCTAAGACTCTAGATACACATTCCATGCCTGGAAAGTTCTCTGTGAATGGTAGATTAATTGCCTTTTCCGTTATAACAGCGGTAAATGCCCGTGTTTTGAGCAAACTGATTGTTTGAGCTGTTTCCACTTGTTGGACAAAACTTCTTTACTTGCTGCTGGTGGGTTTGTATTGCTATATTTTCTTGTGGATAGTAGTTCTAAAGTAGCACATGCACATTTTCAAAGTGGAAATTCCTCCATAATACTAAAACGATGAGGTTATTTATTTCTCTACTGGTAAACTCACTGGATTAAAAAAAAAATCAGAAGGAAAAAGATTGGGGGCAGGAGGGAGAGAAGAAAACTCTGTAGTTGACAAAAGACGGTCTCTCTGCGGAAACTAGTTCAGGATGAAGTTGTAGGAAGAGAAGAACTATTTTTTCATAACTTCAGTCAGGTCATATGCTATGTGATCACACATTGAATGCAGTGAGCTGCGCAGATGAGTAATCGCATTTTTCCACATTTGGATACACCTACCCAGCTGCCTATAGAAAAGTAAGTGGGTGGGGCACTACTAGTGTAGTACTACTGTCTGCGGGGATGGGACTTGCAGGAAAAGCACAAGATTTCTTTTCCTACTGGTACTACAGAGCCCTCTCGTTCTCCAGCTGTAGCTAGTCTGTAGTACTGAGGCTCTGCAAAGTATGGATCGATGACGTGCAAAACCCGAAACAAGTATAGTGAAAATGGTGACATGCATGCTCACGTACTGAATGCCCACTTCATGGAGAAGACATGGTTTCATGCGTGCATTGATAGAAAAATAACTTTGAATCTGGTAATTCTGCTACTTTTGGACTTAGAGGAGCAGGAGAGAGGTTCAGATGGTTTTTCCTCTAGATTGTTTCACCTAAAGCTCTCTAATCTTGTTTAGGAAAACTACTTTGCACAATTTAAAATGTGAAACTAGGTTTTCACTGTTGGGAATAGCTGATTTTTTCCAGTGCCTACAGAGGCTCTCACTCTAGTACATATTCTGAATTTATTAAGATTTGTTTTGCTGCTTGGCAGTGGACTTTGCCTTTTGCCCAGCCGTGCTGACGTGCCTTTCCTCTTCCTTGTTACGCTGCTGCTTTCCTTATTGTGGGAAGGGACTTCATTGGAAAAAAAAATGACTGTGTTTAGAACACAGCGTTTGAATTGACTTGGCTTTCTGCTGTTTGATTTCTTCGTAGGCAGAGTTCTCCTCTGAGGACAGGGGGTTGTAAAACAGATTTCAGAAACAAGTGAAACTCTTGTTCAGATTTTTTTCAGTATTCCTATGCTGTATGTATTGGAGACCCTTTGAAAGGGGTTTGAATGGTTTGAATCGGTAAAGCAAGTTCTGCAGTCTTCATACACGAAGCAGCTAAGTAGGTGGTTGGTTGCAGAGGTGCTTAGAATATAACCTTGAGCTAGAGGCTAGAGAAAATATTAATTAAAAAGGTATCAAGTGAGAGTGCTATTACTGTTACAGCTTAAAAAAACTGAATTATACTTTTGCCAGCTACTGCAGCATAGAAGGGCTGTACCGTGAACTAGAATGTTTTGTCAAGGTGATTACTGAGTGATTGTAAATGTCTCGGAAGATCTACAATGAAGCCAATTGATTAAATTTAGGTATCCCTTTTCAATTACACTCTGACCTTACCATGCAGGGGAAGATGACAGTGCTTACTCAGTAGCACAGCGTTTGCTGGTAGTTAATGAAAGAGCTGGGCTACAAGTGCGTGTTTTAACCTCCTTCTGTCTGTTTGGTTTCTTGTTTTTTCCACTTTTATTCTCACAAATGCCTTTGTGTTGTGTCCTGTCAAAAAGTTACTGACAAAATCAGTTCCCTTGTTCAACTGCATAGACCCTGATAAATGCCCAGTATAATACTGGTTGCACTTAGGTGACACACATAGCTAGCAACTAGCGCGTTGGGATTTAGCTTGCTCTTAAAGCGGTTAAGAAGAAAAGAGGTTTTCAAGTTTATAAACATGAGAAGATAACACGTGACTGTTCCGATTTGTCAATAAAATGCAATACTTTTTTTTTATTATTATTATTCAAATCAAGGGAGGATTGGAATGGGAAAGACAGAAGCACTTTTAAAAAAATAGCATGTCAGGAAAAACACGTAAACTGAGCAAGAACTGTTTCCTGAGAATCTGACGTGTGTAATGCTTATTTTTCTTTCCTCTGTGCTATTGATGTAGTAAAATTTGGGTTTAAATCTAAAGTGTTAAAATTTTGCATTTTAGCTTTTAAGTTGCTGTTTGGAATTCTTGCATTCTGTGCTTGAGAATGTAAGTGCTGTTACATCACTAGACTTTTTTTTTTTTTCTGTTAAATTCATTAATAAATCTACTGTTTGGTAACTGCAAAGTTAGCCAGCGAAGTACAATAGAATATTGCATTGCAAGAAGGAGGAACACTGTAACGCTTTTGAGACTCGTAACTAATTTACAACATTTTGGTATCTTAAGTAGGTTTTTATAGTGAATAAATACATTGTATTAATTAAGAGGAGAAAAAAGAACAAATACCAGCGTATTTTATAAAATCTAGGCAAAAAATATTAAAAAGAAAAAACTGATAGCTAAACCAACATTTTTTAAAATTAATATTTCTTGGGCTGCAGGGAGAGGGGAAAGAATTCTTTTTGTTCATCTGAAAAAAAAGGAGGAAAGCAGTGCTGAGTTTGGGTTTCAGGGTGACTTCCTTACTAGTGCTTTCTTCCCCTTATCATTTTCTTTAAATCCGCCTCTTCTTATATGTGTTTTGTAGATAATGTCTTGAGCTATTTTTTCTGGTTTGATTTTATAGCTGCACATAATATCATGTAATTAGTTCAATTTCCCTTTGCAGCTAATCTACTTGTGCTCCTCGTCTCCTTTGTTGCTGTCTCTGGGGGGGGAGGAAAAAAGCAGCTTTATGTCAAGAACTTTTTAGTTCTGATGCAGGCTAGTGCTACTGATATGTTTTTTAGGAAAATGAGTTTTTGCCTTTTTGTTTTTTTTCTCCTCCATATATAAAAACTTATTGAAATCTGTATATGGTTCAGAAGTGATTTTTATTTTATGATTTCATGAAGTCTGGCAATTATAATCTATCTAGGGATGTAGACCTGTGTGCAGTGAATTCAGGATGCTGGTAGAAGACTGTTAATGGCTAAACGTGGCAAAGGTAAATGAGGCAGAAATTCTGGGTGCAAATAGGAAGAAGAATTGCATCAAACTTAACCTGAAATGGGGGCTTCTTTGTAGTCTCTCCCCATATGTGCTCCCAGGAGATGCTGATGGTTTTGGTTTGAGACCTTTGGATGTGGCCCTAAGGTTTAGTACGCACGGGGAAAAAGGTTTGGATTGTTTTGTTGGATTTGTTTGCCGTTTTCCAACACGGTTCTGTGCAGTTGGAGCCACTGTTCCTGTTTGCTGTGTTAAAAACAAACTCCTAATTAAAGATTAGATAGTTGGTGGCAAGTGAATGTCACGTGAGGCATTTTATGGATGCGTGGATGCAGGTGCTCACACTCGTGGAATAGAAATCTGGTGGAAGGTTTAGAGAGTACTGTGTATTTCGGATGGCTCTCCTGGTATTTTTTGAGGGTTCCCTGTAAAATGTCAGTGTCCTGTTAAATGGCAGACACTGGCTATTGTGTGAGCCCGTTTATGTCAAATGAGAGTTACCTCTCAAGAGTGAATTGGCTGCTTTTCTTACCTATAACACAATCCACTCTCAGAGTCCTGAATACCCTTCCGAGGGAAGGCTTGTAAATGTCCCTAGTTTTGGTTTTGTGCCATTTTTACAGATGGAAACTTGTGCATAAGTTTTGTCTGGTCTGGAAGGTTCTCTTGGAACTTTTGAACCGATGCTGATGAAAGAAAATGATAGTTGAATATTTGAAGAGATCGTTAATTAAGTTTATGAAAACATTGGATTTTATCATTGTAACTTGAATAACTAGCACTTTCACAAATTTGCCTTTTACTTAAGATTCAGCGTTTGTTTCTTTAGTTGAAAATGTTAATTTTTTTGGCTGTAACTCTCTTGGGTCTAGCACAGTGGACAAGGTACAGCAAGCGATTCTTGCAAAAGCCTTTGGGATACCAAAGGAAGTTCTACTTTATTATTAGCACAGACATAATGCAACATACTTTTAATTTTTTTTCCTGACATAAAATCAAATAACGAACAACTTTTGGAAAAATTAAACCAGTGCAGGGGTTATACTTAAGTCAACATATTTCATAACTAGGTTACTATCATTTTGATCTTTTGTTAGGGGCTGTAGTACATACTGGAACTGAAACTGGAATATTTGTGTGCATGTGTATTTGCTGGCTCCTACGTGGATGCAGTTCTGACACGAGAAAATTATGGTATTTTCATTTGGGTGTGAAACCTTGGGCAGAGAATGATGGAATTTTGCTGAGCTTGCATAAATCCATGTTCACTTCCCGGGTTCTCCTGACTCACATTGGTAAAATACTGCTGGCTCCTACGTGGATGCAGTTCTGACATGAGAAAATTATGCTATTTTCATTTGGGTGTGAAACCTGGGGCAGAGAATGATGGATTTTTGCTGAGCTTGCGTAAATCCATGTCCCAGGTTCTCCTGACTCACATTGGTAAAATATGCACATCAAACCACTGTTGATGATTTGCTTCCTTACATGTTTGTTTTTGAGGAAAGGATAAAGATTGAGGTTATGGTTATCTTTGCCCCAGCTTTTCAAAGCTGCCTCTTCCCCACCAGCTTACAGTAGCTCATCAGGTGAGAATTTGTAGTCACTAATTTGAACAGAATTTCTCATTTCATCCTTATTAGTGATTTAAATGAACCTGTTCTATTTTGAACCAAAGTGGAATGGAAACAGGCATGCTGTCTCAGCAGCTGCAGTGTTTTAGGCTCTTTTCTAATGCTTGTGGAATTATGTCCATATTTCTTTTTGTGACATAGATTTCTTTATATGAGACACCTTTAAAAAAAAAAACAACCACCAAAACCTAACCCAATCCCCCTCTGAAAATCCAGAAATTGTACTTATGAAAGAAACATAACTGATTTGGAGACCTTTAGGGTCTTTTTAAAGAAAAGTCTTTCTAATGCTTATCTTAAGTGTTAAAAAAATAATACAGATGAGGCAGGTTGCAATGAGGTCCTTGGGATGGAGGCTTTGTTCTATAGGTAAATAAGCTTAAAATAGCTGGTGTAGGAACAAGATGTGCAAGCAAATGTTTTCCAAGACCAAGTCGGTGACGTCCTCGCAAATGATGCATCCTTTGTGGAAGTCATTTTAGGACTAATGGGGCTAATTAGCTTGTGCTTGATGCTGGAGAAATATAATTATACTGATTCTACAGCCGGTGTGGATCTGTAGCAGTATATACCTCGGCTTCAGATAATAATTCCTCTCAAAAATGGAGATGACATTGTGAGGAGAGCTTTGGCCTAGAATTTGAAATGTGTGTATATATATATTATAATAATTCCTCTCAAAAATGGAGATGACAGTGTGAGGAGAGCTCTGGCCTAGAATTTGAAACGTGTGTATGTGTGTATATATATATAGTGTGGATAATCTCAGCCCTCCTCTTGCTTCTTTCTGCTCCACCAGCCCTCTATATTATGGAACTTTGTACTTTTTACTTCAGTTTGGCCAAGCCTCTGAAATTTTTCTGTGGGATTTAGTACTTAGATTTCCAAACTAGTAATGAGAAAAATAACTTCAGCGACGTGTTGCATAATGGACCACAAGTGAATTTTCAAGGGAATTTTTCAGACTGATACTGTGTTTTTACTTGGTTTTAATAGACATTAATATCTCCTTACCAAAGTGAACCAAAACCTCGGATTTTGCTTGAAAATTCAGAGAACACAATTGTACCACTTTTTTAAATTAAAGTGTAAAAATGATAATAATAATTATAATTACTATTACTGTTGTTGTTATTACTTATCCTCCCATGCCAGAAAATCCTATAAAACCTGCTTCCTGGCATAGCATTGAACTGTGTTAGTTTCCAAGACTTGTCCTCATGTGGGGTTTGATTTTTTTCAGTTTTATTTTATTTTCCTGTGTTTCTTTCTTTTTTTGTTCAAGGGTCTCTGGCTAGTTGGATAAATTTCAGTTTTAACTATAGAATTTTGAAGCTTGTGTTATAGTGTATAATGTGCCTACATGTTGTTTTGAATCACACGTACATAATCTTGACTTAGCTCAATGAATTTTTACATTGCTTTAGACAGAAGACATTTTATAATGCAGAAAAACAGTGTAAATTTGGAAATTAGTCGATATTGCACATGAAATAGAAACATCATTGTACAATGTTAAATATTTGTTCGGTTGAAACAATGCAATGTAATTTCTTATACTGATAATTAAAACTTAATTTAATTGTTGCTAAAATGAAATACTGACCCTAATGATTGTGGTTGGCTTTTTTTTCTTTTTTTCTTTAAATTTTGACAGCCTCGATACACTGGTGCTGTATTTTGAACTCGGAAGTTCTTGTATCTCCAAGAAATCTTTTTTTTTGCTATTGCTTGATACTTTTTTCTTTGTCCAGCTGATGAATACATTGCTATTATCTTGATTATAGTTTTTCTTTCCCTTGAAGTGATATACTCAAGAAAAATAGATTTCCATCAAATTTTAATCAAGAGAATACTTGTAAATCTGATGAATACCCTGGCTATTCTTAGTATGGTAAAATGGATTAAAACTCCCACAGTTAATTTCATTTGTTTCATAACGTTTCTGTGTGGTAGCAGTGGATTAGGCTACTTGTTCTCATGCCCTTCATCTCAATTATGTTTTTTCCCATTTTGTTGTTTTTTTTTAATGAGGAACTGAATGAAAACTACTAGGCAAATTAGGCTATCCCTTTGAAAAATTGAATGAAAAATAATTCATATTAAATGGTATTTTTCCACAGTAAGATTCCCCACCCCCTGCCCTCATTCTAGGTGGTTTTCCTGCTATGATTTTGTAGATGGCTTAGATATTTTTTTTCCCCCTATCTATTAGCCTCTTTATTTTGATGTGGTCATAGCATAGGCCTGCTTGTGGATTATGTTTACTTATCTGTAGTTATGAGAAGTATTGAGTACTTTTTGGTTTTAAATTTTGAGAAAGGAAAGCTAAGGATCATTGTTGTCTTTCAGTTGGTTACATTTTAGCCTTTAGTCAGTATTTTTAAATAACTTTAGTGATAATTGTGAAAGTGAAACTGAGGTTGCTACAATTAGTGCTTAAGTGTTGTATTTAGATTTTTTTTCTTGTCATCTTGTAACATGAATTTAATTTTGTTGAATTCTGATTAGGTAACCTGCTGAATTTTTCTCAAATACTGCATGTACTGAAGGTGTTTGCACAATTTCTGTAGGATCAGCTTTGGTTTAAAGGAGAAAAGTATCTCTGAGAAGTAGTGAGGAAAAAGGAATGTGTCTGTTCTATGGGTTTGCTTGTATTTTGTGGTTCTTTAATGGGAGAAACTATATCTAAGAAAGCTTTAATGTTTTCTAACAACCTGTTTGGGTGTAGAATCTTGAGTGATTAGTATTTTTTTTTTATTTGTGCCTGATCTTTCCTATTTCATAGACTTTTGGTTATTCTATAAACATGGTGATAATAGTTGGTTTAAAAAAAAGTAGTTTGCCAGAAAAACAGATAGTCTGAGAAAGCAGCTAGGCTAAATTTTTACTGTGTAAACCTTTACTTTTTTGAAACAGGAGATCAGCAAAATCTCGAAGCAGAAGTCCATATTCATCAAGGCACTCAAGGTCTCGGAGCAGACACAGATTGTCTAGATCCAGAAGTCGTCATTCAAGTATTTCTCCAAGTACATTGACTTTGAAGAGTAGCCTGGCTGCTGAGCTGAACAAAAACAAAAAAGCAAGAGCTGCTGAGGCAGCCAAAGCCAGCGCCAAAGCTTCCAATACTTCGACACCTACTAAGGGAACCACTGACACTGCTGTAAGTGCGCCTCAAGTGAACAATGTAAAGGACCTGAAGAAAATAAAAACTGAGCATACACCTTCTCCGACGAGCAGCGCCAATTTGAAAAACGATAAGGCAAAAGCAAAGGTCTCGCTTCCTGAAGCAAAAGGGGAAAATAATTTAATTGCAGACAAAATTACTAAGCAGAAACCTACAGCGGTAAAAGAGAATAAAGTAACTGTTGTCAAACAGCCGCCGGTCACTGTAAAAGAGAAAAGCAAACCGAGTACACCCAGTGTAGTAACCAAGGAGAAGGATCGTATCGTTGCACTACCAACCTCCACACTGCCACCCTTGCCTTTGCCTCCCACGCTGCCTGAAGATAAAGAAACTGATAGGTGAGTTGTGACATAGATTTGCATTATGAGGTTGTCTCTTCCTTTTTTTTATTATTATTATTGTCGTTGTTATTTCCTTTGGAAAACAAATGCAATCTAGCAAATACTAGATTGGGCTGATGCATTATGTAGTCTGTACTTGCTCTTCAGTTGTTTCACATAATTAAAGGAATTTGATCTTAAAAAAATAATTTAACTGGTTCTTGAAAAGAAAAATATTTAGTCTAGGAGGAATCTTTTAAGATTCACTAAAGAGATGGTTTAAAATTGTGGTAGATAATAGCTTTGGAACTAATGCAAGGATGCATTCAAGATTTCAAGTTTGGTACAAACACGTAACTACTGGGGAAAAGTTGAATTCAGTAACAGTATGTGAAAATTCTTAAATTAACTGGGGTTTGAGGTAAAGATTCCCTTTGGAAAGCAAATTTTTATGGCTGTGCGTTATTTCAGTATAAATTATCTTGGATCAATATAATTTTGTTTACTTAACTGGGGTTTGAGGTAAAGATTCCCTTTCCTTTGGAAGGCAATTTTTTATGGCTATGCATTATTTCAGTATAAATTATCTCGGATCAATATAATTTTGTTTATAATGGAAGTGAGGTTCATGGCTTGTCATTTGTGTTAACTTCTGAAGTCTGTAGTGAAGAAATTCAGAGGTTCATGGCTTGTCATTTGTGTTAACTTTTGAAGTATAAAAATTGGTCTGCAGTGAAGAAATTCGTGTCTATATTCCAAGTATTGTCTGAGCTTAGACTACGTTAAGTCTCTTCATAATCTTAACAGAGAATACATGCTGTGATTATTATTGGAAAATTAAGCTGTTGAGAAGTAATTTACTATTTTTCTTACAGTTTTGGTGATGTAGTGGAGAAGAGAACTTCGGTTCTTTGAGAAGTGTCTACTGTTTCTTTGATCTAGGGTAACTAGTTTAACTAGATATGTAACTGGCTTTGCAGTGTTAATTGCGATAATCTTATAATTACTTATATTTTTTAAGGTAATAACTGGTTTAAGTATAGCTAAACTGTGCAGAGAAGTTTACCTGTGATTGAATGGTTCTATCAGCATTGGGCTTATTATCAAGGAAAAAAAAAAGCCTAATGCTTGCGAACAGCTGCATTAGAAAGGTTAATGGCAAGTAATAAAACATCATTTATGCTTTGCTTAGTTTTGCCTGTAGGATGTTATAAACTTCAGATCCGAATGGTTGTGATTACAAGCCATGATAAAGCTTAAGTCATCACAGAAAAATGATCCATGTTTTTTTAGGGGGGAGGAGGGCAAAAAGGTATTTACCTTGGGCTCAGAGCTACTGTTGGGAAATTGTGCCAACAAAGCTTGACGCTACGCAGAACTGGCTGGTTTCTAATGTCACGTCAGTTGTGAAGTTGAGTAAGAATCTGATAAACCCACAAACTACCTAAAGGAACAGCAGTGTTGCAAAACCACTGCTGTAGGGTAGCTGAAAGGGAAGATTGTTCCGGTGGTCAATGACGTGATTTAACAGACCTAAAAAAAGACACTGCTCTTGACTGCCCCTGTTTTCATGTACCACTCTAGAGTCTGTTTCAGAACCTCTCATATTCTACAGTCAATGACGTGATTTAACAGACCTAAAAAAAGACACTGCTCTTGACTGCCCCTGTTTTCATGTACCACTCTAGAATCTGGTTCAGAACCTCTCATATATTCTACGTTCACTCATATTGAAAGTCTGGGGGCAAACTTGTGAGAGAGATACAAATAGATGAACTTGAAAATTAATGGTTTTTTTCTTTACCATGATAATAGCGTGTGCTGCCCAAAGGTGGTTTGTTCTTCATAGCGTGCTAACCGTTGAATTTGTGATGAGGACAGTATGTGTTTCCTTGAGGTGCTTCTTTAAATTCAGGCAGTGGCAGCTTGAGGAACAGCAGAAGGCATTCAAGTGTTCTCTTTTCATGGGGAAGCACAGACATACGCAAAACACCGAAATGCATTATATAAATACATAAAAATTGCTAATTGCAATTAACATAAGAACGAAAATATGCATTCTCCATGATGGAAGACAGCAAGGTCTTTCCATTTAGAGAGGTTCCTGCTTTATCTGTGAAACTCTGTAGGTAAGAAGTTGCAGATAAAGCTCCAGAAAAGGTTCCCAGAAAAGGATGCTGACAGTAAATAGTGTGATTTGGCAAGTGCAGCTGTCTTGGAAAATGTCCCCTCAAAGCATGACAGGAAGTTTTCTTGATGCAATGAAAAAATTTGAAATGTAAAGAGAGGATACTGTACAAGAGTCCTTTGTGGGAGAAAGGGTTGTGTAATTATATAAAGTTTAGTGATGGTCCTGGCTTTAAAATGGCTGGATATGTAGTAGCTGCACAAATCTAGGAGGTTCTGGTAAAATGGGACAATGTGTTTAAAAAAAAAACCCTGCAGAAAGTATGGTGTTTCCAGATTTTCCCTGTTAGAATGGGAAGAGAATCTCTAAGTTATTACACCTAGTAGTTGTTAAAGGAAGAAGTTGCTATACATGTGTTTGGATTTTTCTCAAGGCAGAGATTGTCAGTATCTGGTGTGATGGGTGATGGGTGATGGTTAATAAATGGTCAGATATCAGTAAACCATGTCAGAAAAACAGTCATTTTTTCATCTGATTTTTATTTTTCTACTTGATTTGCATGCTGATCACTAGAAATGTGTTGAATCTGGAGTGTTTCAGCAAATGTATGAGATTGGAATCTGTAAATGAAGTGATGTGGACTGCCTCGTTGTGCCCTGCAGAGTTACTCTAACTGTGAAGCTCATTATCTCTGGAGACCAACTTTATAGAGAACTGGATTAAGGATAATCTTCTCTTTTATATGAGAAGTTAGTCAAGAGTACAGATTTTCTACACTTCTGATGTTTGACAGCACCTCAACTCTAAATATTCTTAATAGTCTAGGACATAAGCTTGTAAAGAAGATTGTGTAGCAGAAGAGATCTGGTCTGATAAGGCTTGCTGTGTCATCTAACCACAGCTTTCACCAAAAAGATCCCATTTCATAGTTTCTGTAGAATTTTGGTAGTCCACTGTGCGTCTTCCAGAGAGCTGTTTGTGAGCCATTTGGAAAACATAAAGGCCTACAAATTCTAAGAGCAGAGATTTCAAATGTTGATGCATCGACAGCCTAGAATGTATTTTAAAGAAGTAACACCGATAGGGTTTCCTTTATGTAGGTTGATATCATTCGACTGTGTTCAACTTATTAGGAAAATTGTGTCTTTTTTTAGTAGTTTGCGAGAGAATATTTCAGTGAAGACAGTTAAAGAAGCAGAGAAGAAGCTTCGCCATCTGCTTGCAGACTTGCCGCTTCCACCCGAGTTGCCTGGAGGAGCTGACTTATCCAAAAGTCCTGAAGAAAAGAAACCAGCAGTTCAATTACACAGCAAGAGAAGACCAAAGTATGTTTATTAGGCTTTTTTTTTTTTTTTAAAGCCCGTCAAGCAAGTAGAAGTGGTAGTAGTTTCTTTAAAATATAGTATTTTCAAAAGAATTCTGCTTTTTAATGAGGCTTTTAAATATTAATGAGGCTTGAATCAAACTGCATGGTTTATTGTCACTTAATGGTAGTAAGGCAGTTATCTAATAATGTCTCATAAATATTTCATGCGGAGGGGTTTTTCAAAGTTAAGGCAATCCTTAGATATATTAGCTGGATTCTTAGAAATGCTTGTTGTTTTCTAGAATATGTGGACCACGACACGGTGAAACGAAAGAAAAAGAAATAGACTGGGGAAAGCGCTGTGTGGATAAATTTGATATAATTGGTATTATTGGTGAAGGCACTTACGGGCAAGTTTACAAAGCAAGAGATAAAGACACAGGTAAGTTCAGAAAAAGTCAATATAATCCCGCAATTCAAAAGTGAACAGGATGTTTTGGTTTTATACTGAGTAAAATTTGGGATATTCTGTCCTCTGATGCTCGGAAAGTTTTTAGTTGTTGGTTTGTTTGTTCAGTTTTAAATCTAGTATTTGTCTAAGTGAGAAATAATCTTTTGCTGCCTTGGAAAATTATTTATCTGTAACGTTGTGTTTGAAAGCCAGCTGAGTAGTCTTAATTTCTGATTCTTATTTCTTAAGTTTTGATGCTCCGTGTATAATTGAGCTAGTGAAGAAGAGAGGGTAAATACTCTGGGGAAACGAAATAGCACCCTAGACAGGTTGATGAAGAATAATGAAGTTGTTAAAGGGATGTAGGGGTGAAGAAGCTATGCATCAGATTTAGCCATTTTTGTTCATACTCCAATAGTCACAAGCTGGGAGGAAGAAGAGAATCTCCCTCTGTGCAGCACAGCCCTCAAGTGTTGCATATTGGGTGTTTTTCTTGCGGTGTAAGTGACTTTACAACAGTGACATAATTTTTAAAGATCATGTTAAAACTGTTGCTCGATGAGCAAGCAGTCACAGCTATGATAGGTAAGAATGTTGTCACTGCTTCTAAATGGCTAATGCATTGAAATGGGTTCTTCCTACCTGCTGTGTGTTGCTTGATCTTTTTATGTTCAATTAGTAGTTCTTTGTGGGACTGCTTGCCCTTCTGGCTTATCTGTGTGTGCTTTGAATGCTGGATAATTTTCTACATCACCAGTAACTGAATCACACATAGGATCATATACCAGCCTCAGTTCCTTCTGTCTCATCTCCAGAGGAATAAGGAGTGTAATTATAATGCCTTTTTCATTCTTCGTCTGTGTTTGTCTCAGTTTGAAAACTTTAGGTCTTAAGTTGACCTGTCATAGATTTTATTTTCTACCTTCTACCTTGGGAACTATTGCAAATGGTTGTTAGGGATTCCTGGGAATCTCCTGGGATTCTATTCTTTGCACATTTAAGTTTTTAATTCTATCATAACCATGTTGCCTCTTTGGCAAGCTTCAGGTTATTTGTGTGTGGCAGTCACTTCTTAACCTCCAGCGGAAGTTGTTGCTCTCTCTATTGAATGGGTCCATGCGGTTGTAGCAAACCTTCCACTAGCTTTGGATTCAAATCCTGCCTGAAGAGTGGCATTATGGCTTTTGAGATACCTTATTGACAAGCAAGTGGATCTTGTGTCTTACTGGAATGTGATCTATTGTGTATGTGTCTTTTGCACTGGTGTAGGGTTAAGTCCTTTTTAGAGACAACCAAGATTACCTGTCAATAAACTTCCAAGACAAAATGGTTGAGTTGGCAGTGTTTTTAGTTATCTTCCATCTTGAGTAGCTCATGCTCCTGCCCTTTTGCAGAATCTAGCTTCATCCAGCCCGGCCTGTAGTAAAATAATATACACACTTTAAACATGGCAGTGACGCTTCTGCTTGTGGAAATCATACTGATGAATTTGAGAACTCTTCAGCTGTCTACCTTGTATCTTGAACCATGTGGTATTTCTGGTTAGATATATGCATTCTGACCTGTTGTGATGTAGTAATAGGAAATCCAGAGCAGACATAGGCCTCTATCTCTAAAGCTGCTGGTGATAATCCCTCTCATATGGGGGTTTATTGATAGACCCAGCGTGAAATATCACACACAGGTAAAGTATGCAGGAGGAAGAAGGCAGGCCTTACAGAGGGTAGCTGAAAATTCTCATTTATAGTTTTTCTCTTCCATGTGATTGTTTCCCAACAATGTTTAATTCGTTTTCCATTGAGCATAGTGTTTTTTGCCAGCATCAAAACGTTCACTATTTAATCTGTTCAGAAATAGCAACAAATGGGAAGGATTTTAAAAACAAGCAAACCTAGAACTAAAGCCTATAGTTTTGTTGCCAATCTTAATGCTTTTTATTTAAATTTTATTTTAGGGGAAATGGTGGCACTAAAGAAAGTACGTCTGGATAACGAAAAGGAAGGGTTTCCAATTACAGCTATTCGGGAGATAAAGATTCTTCGACAGCTTAATCATCAAAGCATTATCAACATGAAGGAAATAGTGACAGATAAGGAAGATGCTTTGGACTTCAAGAAGGACAAAGGTATGTAGGTGACACAGGGATAGCTTGCTCTGGTCCCGTTCTTAATATGGTAGTCTGGTATGCTGGATTTCAAGTTATGCAAAATATTTTGCAAATGGTGATGCTTGACAAGGGATTTTAATTTTGACTTAATTGCTAATTAAAAGTTCTTTATTTAACTCAGCTACGCCTTTTGCTCATGGAAATATTTCTGCAAATATTTTATGGGTTAAAAATATGTATACCTTGATTCCAGTTTTGCTGGAGAGGAATAGATGTTTGACTCCTTGACACTAATGGATTAAGGAGGCAAACAACAAGAGGAAGCTCTTGTGAGCTTTGTCAGCTTTTTGTTTTCCTGGTAGTATTTTCTCCTATGATTTAAGAGTATTGTAGGCTCAATCCTGAAGAAATGCATTTCATTTTAGGCGTTGGTTTTATTTGAACTGTGCTTCAGTTACTTTTTTCGTAATTGGGCATATGTCTCTTGAAGGCCAGAAGGAGGATAAATGACAAAAATAAAAAGCAGGATTTGTCTGGTAGTAGCAGTGTTTTTCCCCCAGATAGAAGGCGTACAGACTTTTACTTTTTTTTGGTTTCTTCAGTGTTAAGTTTGGCTTGTTTTAGTTACTGCAACCTCCTTTGCCTAGAGAAGCAAGCAAACGGAATGGACATAATGCAGTGTTGTTGTCTTGGTGCTTCTGATATTGGAGTGGTCATTTTGTCTTTGGAAGCCATTTTTTGGGGGGGTGCAAGTCTTATAAAGCACATGGTTTGCTTAAGAGAAGGTGTTTGGAATGTGGTACCTCTGCTTCTTCCCTGCTTCTCCACAGCATGCCCAGCACCAGCACGGGTAGGAAACACCCCGTGCACTGCACAGCCAGCAGAAACACCAGGTGACGTTGTGATGAGTCAGAAGATGGCTGTCAAAATTAAGCAGGAATTAGTTTAGGTATTTTTGTCCTAGATCTTTAGAATCTTGAAAGGTATACAGCAGCGGCACGCTTTTTTTTTTGTTGTGTTTAAAAGCAAGCAGCCTCCAGCAAAAGTGTTTCTCTAGATATCTGCAAGTTCAGTGGTCAGCACCCACTCTGAACCCTGACAGTCTGCAACACGCAGTTTGGGCTTGTCATGTGAATCTTGTACTGAGTTTTAATTAGGTCTAACCTACTTGGCTAATGAGACCACACTGAGCCTTGACTTAATACTTAATGACTCATTAATTAATTTTCTCCCTTTCTGCTTGGTGCCGTGTCTAGGATTGAATTGTAAATTTTTTGGGGTACTTCAAACTGCGTGTCTCATTAATTTCAAATGTGGCTGTTCTTTGTCCAAGTCTATATTTGTGCTTTTGATATTGCTTTCAATATAATTTCTCTTTCTTATTTAACAGCTTATTAAAACAATTAGATTTTCAGAAAAATTGCAAGGGAAAGGGCTTCTCTGGAAATGCTCAAATAAAATTAGTTTCTGATAGTCTCTTGAAGGCATTAGCATGATAATGAGACTGTGCTATTATGATTTGTCTGTGAAAAGATGGAAGGTTGGTTTTGTTGTTTTTTTTTTCTTCAGGCGCTGCATTCTGTATTTCTCTAATGAGTAGCTCATTGTGGGATGGGGATTTACAGCTGAGACGTTGTGGCCAAATTGTAGTCTATGCAGAGAACAAATGCAAGTGGGAGGAAGTTTGGTCATTTTCACGGTAAACCGTTGCAAACACAAAAGGAGGCTGCTGGGCTTGAGAAGGAGCCATTATAAAAGTGGTAGTGATGTCTTATTCAAACATAGCTTACGGTAGAAGTGAAGTGTTTTGCCCTCTGATGAATATGCTTAATGTGTGTTGTATGCTTATCTTACCTTTTGGTATATAACTCTTCGAAAAACCCTGCTGAAATCTCATTTATAAAAATATTTTCCTAATATCTGAGAAAGCTGGTTATTTTTGTGGAAAACTTTTTCTTCTAGTGAGCTGGTGCAGGAGCAATGGTGAGGGTGGGTCTTCAACAGTAGCGTGAGCAGCCTGACACTGTTGGTGCTTATGACTAAGTCTGCTGCTAAACACAGCTAAACTTTCCTTTGCTTTTCCTTTTTGTTCGCTTGATGATGGTATTTCAAATTAATTGGAGTTCACATTCATGAACTTCAGTTCATGTCCTTTTGACCAGAGTTTTGCATAGGAGGGTTCTCTTAACATTTTTTTTTTGTCTGAGAGGTTGTGTGACATTCTCCCTGCAACAGTAACTGAAGAAAACAAGATTCAAAACAAAAGCTGAAAACAAAGAGCTATTTCCTATGTATATTCAAATCTATACATCTCATAAGCAAAGTTAGTTGAGCCACTTCATCAGTAATGAAGTGAATCATTGGAAAAAAGACCATTCTTGCTTTTGATGGACTGTTGTCAGCTCTGGTTTGTTTTCTCAGTGAGTCTGTCATTTATACGATTTAGATACCTCTTTTTTTTTTTTTCTTTTTTTTTTTTTTTTTTTTTTTTTTTTTCTTTGGCCACCCGAGATTGCCCTTCAGTTCTCAGTTGCCTCTTTGTCAGCTAGAAGCTGTTTGCAAGTGCTCAACAGTCCAGCCATGGGACTGCTGTAATCTCTTTTTACTAAATACATCAAGTGTGCCTGACAGCTTTTTGTAGAATCATAGAATGGTTAGAGTTGGAAGGGACCTTCAAGATCATTGAGTTCCAACCCCCTGCTGTGGGCAGGGACACCTCTCACCAGACCAGGTTGCTCCAAGCCCCATCCAGCCTGGCCTTGAACCCCTCCAGGGATGGGGCAGCCACAGCTTCTCTGGGCAACCTGTCCCAGTGTCTCACCACCCTCACAGCAAAGGATTTCTTTCTGGTGTCTCATCTAAATTTCTCCTCTTTCAGTTTAAAACAGTTAGGCCTGGTCCCATCACTGTACTCCCTGATAAAGAGTCCCTCCCCATCTCTCCTGTAGCCCCTTCAGGTACTAGAAGGCCGATACGAGGTCTCTCTGGAGCTTTCTCTTCTCCAGGCTGAACAACCCCAACTCTTTCAGCCTGTCCTCACAGGAGAGGTGCTCCATCCCTCTGATCATTTTTGTCACCCTCCTCTGGACCCGTTCCAACAGGTCCATGTCCTTCTTGTATTGAGGACTCCAGAGCTGGACACAGTACTCCAGGTGGGGTCGGGGTCTCACCAGACCAGTGACAGAGCAGCAGAATCCCCTTCCTTGTCTTGCTGGCCACGCTTCTTTTGATGCAGCCCAGGATGGAGTTGGTTTTCTGGGCTGGGAGTGCATGTTGCTGGCTCATGTTGAGCTCCTTATCCACCAACACCCCCAAGTCCTTCTTGGTAGGGCTGCCCTTAATCCATTCTCCACCCAACGTGTGTTTGTGAGTGACTGCAAAACCAGTAGGTGGACTGACTGACATCTCTTCCTCCTTTTGTCTGGAAGAGGCATTTTCAATTGCGAACCTGAGGGAGGGTGTAAAAATTTGCAAGGGGGACTCTAATAAAAAAGATCTGATTAACATCACAGCTTGTTTGTGGGGCTTTTTTGTTGGGTTTGTGTCTTTTTATCCTGTGTGTGGATTATCTGTTTGGATTGTGTGCGTGTTTCTGTAATTCATTAGATCTGGTTAACATCACAGCTTGAGTTTCCTGGTTTTTCTGTGTGGATTATCTGTGGATTGCTGCTCTTGAAATAGCTGATAGAAACTTCTTACCCAAATAGTTGGGTTTTTTTATGCTACAGCTGAGTTCTCAGGGATAGTGTGACATCTTGAGTGGTGCTTCCCAGCGTGTGCTGTACTTACTGGACTCTGGTCTAGAAAGTGCAGACCTAATTGTGGGGCTTTTCAACTCAATCCACGTTATGGCAAAATTAGAAAAGACCCTAACTATTAATCAAAGATTTCAGATCTGTTTGGCTTACTTTTCCACTGCTTTGAGTTTTTTTGTTCAGTTTTTTTCTTTTTCCTGTAGTACGTGATGAAACGAGGACAGTATTTACTCTGGGGCTTCAGTATGCCTGTGGCTGGTATGCTTATTTCAGAACATGTTTCCATGTACATGTAGTTTGGGTTGGATTTGTTCCAAAAAGAATGAAATTGAACTTGGAATGGGAGAATAAAGCTGTCATCAAATACAAACTTAATATTGGGTGAAAATGTAAAAAAGAAAAATAAAAAAATAAATGCTGGTTTCATTAGAGTAAATTTGTCTTGAAGAAGACTTTTTTGTGGAAGGAGTTTCTTCATCTAAATGGAAGAATGAGTAGAATGAGTACAGCAGTGACACTTTCTTTAGTCTTAATGTGATTAATTCAGTGGCTATGCCTTTATTTGGTGTTTCTCAAATTAGGAACTTGTAGTGCATATATCCAAGGATTGAATGAAAATAAGGCACCTCTGGTGTCTGGGTTCCTCTGATAAATATCTTATCAGATATTTTGAGAAACCCTCAACTTTGTTCCTATGAAGTTACACATGGAAAATACTTGCTTAAAACTGTCATCTAGGTAGGCTTTTGGATCATTCTGCCCAAAGCACTTGTTATCTGACTTTGGGAACAAATGTGTAACTTGATGTTCTGCTTTGTTGGATCTATGTGATTTGATGACAGCCCAAAACCAAAAAATCCAGAGCCTACCTGTGTCACAAAGATGCAAAGTATGCTTTGTCTCATTTTTATTTGGCCCCTCAGAAGACCCTTTGTATTTTACAGATCATCAGTGACACGTTTTGTTCGCTTATCTATTTTGTATGCATAGCTTTACAGCATTATACCCCAGCTCGTTTTGTGCTTTGGTTAAGAAAACTGCTACTGTTAGAGCTCCATGACTTGAAATGCATGAACAGGAGGAGGAGATGTGTTAATCCTTTAATTACTCTAAACTGGTATCTTGCTTTCTGCCCCTTACCAATCTCAACTGACAAAATGGTCAAAAAAAGGAATTTTTCTAAGTGCAAGGAAAAGGAGTAAGGCAAGGATTGCTTCCACCCATGTGAGTTATCTTTCTTTATTGTGGTGCCTCCTTGCTTGATTCAGCTGCTGTCTCTGATCCCATATTCAGAAGCAGGCGATACTACTGCTGTTCAGCTGTTCCAGCTGCTGCTCTGTCAACATGCCGTGACGTTAAGGTTTCTTATTATCTCCGTGGATGAAGGAATGGAGATGAGCAGGGTGGTTATTAGCAAAGGAAATGGGGCACCCCAGGTATAAACCCCCTGTTAGTGCTTTGTTGCAGCATCTGGAAATGGCCTGTAGGCTGCCTCCCACCTCACAGGTGCTTACTTGTTGGGAACTGCTGGTCTTTAACGTAATAGCAGTTAAGATGAGTAACGTTCAAGTCAAAGAAGTAATTCTAGGTTCATTTGAATTGCATGCAATTTACTGTAACAGAGCTTTAGGTTGTTTTATGACCCTGCTTCCAGAAATGTGGATGTTGGGCAAAGCTAGCATGGAGAAAGGGTCATTTTAAAACGTAACCTCCAAGCTATCAAATGGTTTAACCTCATAAAAGAAAGAACAGTTATTTTTTCTGTTTTCCTCTTTGAGAAATGTGTGTTTGTGTGATATTTGTTTTGATTGAACTAAAGAATGCTGTAAACTGGAACTCAGGCTGTGCTATAGTAAGCAGAATTCTGCCTGGGTGTAGTTCACTTGTGAAGACTTCCTTGACTGTTTTCTTCCTGAATATCTATAGCTTCTTTCCCTGGTATGAGGGATCAGATCCCCCGATCTGATGAGCAGCAATGGAGATTTGAAACGATCAAGTGGAATAATGCAGCTGTTTTGTTGCCTGAAACTCTAGTTCTCTGTCAGCAAAGGGCACCATGTCTAGAAATAAACTCACAGAAGTTTCATTTTAGTCTGATCGATACCTTTTTTTGCAGCTACAATCACTTCAAAATCTAGTTGGAGTAATACTGAAAATCAGGTTTTAATGGTTAGACTGCCAAGGCTAGTAGATTAATTCTAATAGTTTCTTGTAACCAATGAAGATTTGAATTCTAATAGTTTCTTGTAACCAATGAAGAAGATTCAGCTTTGACAGCTTTTCTTTTTAAAAAATATTCTGAGATTGTATAATATGTCGGTAGAAAATAGGTGGTAATGATCAAGTGCAATGGATTCGTGCATTTGCTCTTGCTCTGATATGGAAGGAACATTTAGCATTTATACTGTTGTATTGTATGTTTCTTAATGAGAGTTGCAGAGAATATAAATAATTGGATGTCATCTCCCAGGTACTGCTCTGTTTTATTTATAAATTATCTCCATTGTTGCCAGCTTTCCTTCTTGCATGAGGGTACCAGTTGTGATTGCTGGTTATAAATGATGGTGAAAAATCCTGAGAGCTAGGAGCAGAGCAGGAAAATTGCTCAAGGCACGGAGGCTCCTTTGCATATAAACAAGAAGACTGTGTTCAGGGATTATTGCTAAAACAGCTCTGAAATCCCACTGACCCTTCCCAGCCGTTCTCCTTGTCGTGTATACAAAGTGTAGCCTGCTGCCATGACAGAGTTAACTTTTTTGTGTTCAGGGATTATTGCTAAAACAGCTCTGAAATCCCACTGACCCTTCCCAGCCGTTCTCCTTGTCGTGTATACAAAGTGTAGCCTGCTGCCATGACAGAGTTAACTTTCTTTCCTATTCCAGAGAAAGAAGATACCAAGATCACTGGTATTCAGTTTTGTTGAGCTGACATCCCCTGAAGGGCATATATAGATTATTCTGGCACTGCAGCAATAACATCAGGTGTTTTGTTTCAAGGCACTTTAAAATATGTCGTGGTTCGTACTTCAGCAGTTGTCAGTGAAGCAGACCTAGCACCAGGTTGCCAGCTATCTTGTTTTAAAAGACCAAGGTCAGGATCCTCTGGGCTTTTTACTGTGTTGAACTGGTGAACTGCACTGGTGAGCTCAGTTATGTGAATGGTAACACAGCAGACCTGTGGTTCTTCGTGGCTCTTCGTACCTCCTTCTCTTGGCTTGAAGTGGTGGGATGGGGTTGGACCTGCTTGATTTACCTCCTGTGTGCACACCAACAGGGGTGCTTTATGATCAGTGCTTTGCTTCTTGCCTATAACTTACAGCAGGACAAAAGGGCCTAAATTAAAAATGATGAGCTCTTGAGTGTCTGACACCATGGTCTGTGGTTTAGCTGTTCTACGCTGATTTTTGTTACAAGTTTAACTGTTACTGTATAAATAACCTGTTATCTCTCTGTTAAATAGCAGGTGGGTTTAGCACTCTTCCTTCCCTTTTAAGCTATTATGCAAGAAAACAAGTCAGTTCATTAGAATTTGGCCGTGTGTGTGTGTACATTCTGAAAAACTGACTTCTCATTATTGCTCCAAGACTTTCACTGGCTTCTGAATTGCAACTTCTTCTTTAGGAACTAGAACCTGTAATGAGTTCTCGTTGGGCAGAAACTATTTGTACTTTATAGAGTGGTGGCTCTGAAAATCCCTTTCGGGGGGGAGGCCTTTGAAAATGGGAAGTAGACAGAGCCACCTGAATGGGATTTCTGCATTGCCACCAGTGCTCTGCTGAGCCTGCGCTGTCTTCTCTGCCCTAGAGTTAGGGAGAAGGGGAAGAATTAAGTACTTAAAAGCAGATTGTACTGGGAGTGGTTGGGCTGGAGATTGGTTCTTGCCGCTTCTGAAGCGCTCAGCACTTTTTCTCTTTAGGAAGACTTACATATATCAAAGAGCCTTGGCTTTAATAGCTTTATTTGTGGAATTGCACGGGCTAATGGGAGATAAGGCCCGATTCTATTATGCTTACTGTATGTATGTGGCAACTTGGAATATGAGCCCTGTCTGGGCAGAGCTGCTGTTGCTGGTAGGTTAGTTCTGCTTTCTCATTTCGTCTTGTCTTATTATGTGGCAACTTGGAATATGAGCCCTGTCTTGGCAGAGCTGCCGTTGCTGGTAGGTTAGTTCTGCTTTCTCAGTTTGTCTTACTGGTAATTTTAGTTTGAGATGAGCAGGCTTATTTCTGACCTAGTTCCACACTGAAAGCTTAAAATCAGTTCCTGAATCATGACAGATGGATTAGTGATGTACATACTTTGTTTCTAGATTTCTCCTATATTAACCCAGTTAATTTTTCTTTAAATAAAATATATGGAGACTGAGAGCAGTGGGGAGAGTACATGTCTGTTTAGATTAAAGCACCGTGAGGTAGCATTTGTTTGCACAAACATTTGATTGGTGTAATTGTTTACAGGGAAAAGCAATTTTATTAAAACATTTTTACCGCACTATATTTCATTGCTGTTAGTGGACGTGAGGTACAGCTATACCTATGTAAAATGTAAATAGTTTTGTGAAAAATACTTCCAACTTTCAAAAGTAGGGAGCAGCAATGCTTTGGACTGCTGATAAATTAAATGCTCTCTGTTTCTCCTACCCTTTCCCTTTCTTTTCCTAGGTGCATTTTACCTGGTATTTGAATATATGGACCATGACTTGATGGGACTGCTGGAATCTGGTTTGGTTCATTTCAATGAAAATCATATTAAATCTTTTATGAGACAGCTGATGGAGGGCTTGGCCTACTGCCATAAGAAGAACTTTTTGCACCGAGATATCAAATGTTCAAATATTCTACTGAATAATAGGTATGGATATTACTTAAAGTATGCAAGAAAATTTTATGTTAATGTCACATTTAAATCTTCCTTTTAATTTGCACGGTCTGCTTGCTTTAAATCCTTAGCAAAACTTTTTTTAGGTTGCCTAGTTTCTTTGAAATCAACTGTAAAATTCTAATCAGGTAATGTTATCTGCTTAACACTGCATCCTGCAATTGTTTGTTAAACTTATCTGTGTTAGAACAGCGGGATTAAAACTTGAAACTTTTATATCAAAGTAGGGGGGGATATTATCCGAGTTCAAATATACTAAACCAGAATTTTAGGACATAAACGTTTGACGTTTTTGCCATCTCATTTCAAGATGAAGTGTGGCTAGGCTGGTTCTTCATGACAATTCTAAGGTCCTTCATCAGTTGGGATAATACTTTAAAAGAATACTCAAATCAGGGTGTTCAAGCATGCTTTGCCTTGCAGTTATAGCCATAAGCAAATGGGGAGAAGAATTTGTTTCTTACTTCTTTGACCACTTGTAATTACAAATTGTATCGGTAAACACGCTTTTGTTCAGTGTTTAACAGCAGCAAATAAAAAGCCTGCGTGAAGCTAGTGGCTAAGTTCAGGACAGAACTGTTCATTGAATCCAGCAGCACTGAAACCATGGAGTGACTGTAAGAGCAAGGTTTCTAACAGCAAAAAAGAGTATCTTTACAGAGCAGGTAGTCAGCTTCTGAGATTTGTTGTCACAGGAAGTGTTCCACCTAGTGTCAGGAGATTGAAGATGAGACATGTTCACGGACAGGATCATTAACACCTGCTGAAGGGAATAGACAGGAATGCCTGTTTCAGCATCTGTAACACAATGAATGTGGGTGGTGGTGAAGTATAAGGAAAAGGAGCCCCAAAATGAGCAGGTTCACGTGTTCTCCCTAAACATCTACTGCTGCAGTTGGAGATGAAATGGATTTCTTTTTTGGTAAGGGTCTAGTTTTGCCCCAGCTTTCTTCAAATCAAATTTACCCTTCTTTCCTCTTTTTTATTTTTTTTTCACCTTATAATGAGCTAACATCAGACTACTTAAGTTTTTACACAGATATCAAATGTTAAGTCAGACTACATCTGACTTAAGTTTTTTCCCTTGGGCTATTTTTTGAGCATCCTTAGATGTTCCCGCTGGAGCAAGAAAAAGTTGATAGTTGATCTGAATAATTGCAAGACAGTGTTTCTAAAATCCCAGTACCAGTTACAGCCTGAAGCCAAACACATGGATTATGTATCTTTTAGATACACATCTTAAATGTCTTTGGTCAAAAATTCATTGGTCTTCCACAAATACACTCTCTGAGGAATAAGCGTGTAAATTTGAGGGAAACATTTCTTTGTTTGTGGGGGGGATCTCCAAGCATTACAGCAATTCCAAGCACACATTGGAGTGGAAAATGGAATGGGAAGGATAACCTGTATATTTTATTATCATAAAGTAGTCATTCTTACACACATCAGCAGGTCTTGCCCTAATTTGGTAAAATAAACTCTATTTGAAAGTGACATTTGCTGTCTTTGAAAGTGACAGGAGCTTTAAAAGCTCGTGAGTATAGAAAAACAAAAACTCCACGTAACATTCCAACACTGATTTCACATATTAGGGAAGCTTGCAGATACCTTTCTGTTTAAATCATCCTGACTTTATGGATGGTGGGGGCTTCTGGCCACTGAGCAGTGCCTTTTAGCTGTGGAAACTGCCAGGCGAGAGCTCCGTATCTTCTCCTTTTCCCCTCATATATGGGAAAATCTCAAGAAGGGGTTAGGGGTTGTGTCATTCAGCAAGTTGGCTGCTGGCAAAAATAGAAGCCCTTATCTGGTCGGTCAGCCTGATTTAAAGGCTGTATTTAAACTTTACAAGAGGGGAGGACAGTTTCCTAGAAGGAAGTATGACTGCTGATAGTTGTTTGTTGCACAAATGCTTATGCAAGCAGTAAAGCATGAGAAAAGCAGCTTTCTCCCTCATTTTTTTTTTTCTCCTTGCAGAGTTACTGATTTGAATACTTACATTAGACACCTAAATTGGGCTAACATCCTCCTTGCAGAGTTACTGATTTGAATACTTACTTTAGACACCTAAATTTGGACTAACATCTGGTGATGTAAATGCCCTTTGAGGAGCATACCTCATTTTGCTTACTTGGCTTTGCAATTCAGTAAGCGAGTGTATTTGTTTACTGAAGAGATGCATGGATTGTAAGGCATGGCCTCCTCCTTAATGTGGTTTGGTGAAGATCAGTTGCAGCTGTCTCAAAATGTCAAACTTTGTCTGATTTTTTGGGGGGAGGAAATGTATCCAAACAGGATTAACCACTAAACAATTCTTTGCTTTTTCCACCAGAGGGCAGATAAAGCTTGCAGATTTTGGGCTTGCTCGGCTGTACAACTCTGAAGAAAGGTAAGATACAATTTTACTGTGAAAAAGCATTTAGAAGTTTAATCTTTCTGCATAACTCTTAAGTATTTTGAGGGCCAGAAAAGATGACTGTTTTGTTTAGAGAAGTTATTGTACTGTAATACAAGTAATGGCTTAGGAAATGGAAAGAAGTGCACATTGTCTTACACTGCATAAAACTACAAAACTCTCTTTGTGCAAGTGTTCTGGATAAATAACTATAGAGAGTTTCCAATCAATATATTGATTGGAAATGAAGAGTTGCAGTCTTAAGTAGGTTGCATCATTATATAGGTTTTTACTTTTAGTTTCTGGTTCTGTAAACATATTCTTTCTGTTGGTATACCTAGGAAAAGTTTATTTAAAGAAAGAAAATACCTAATTTCTAACGTAAATTGGCATACAGTTTCTTTTCAAAAAGCATTACTTTTGTGTAAGATTTAACCTTACATTTGAAGAGGTTCATTGTATTCTTCAGGCAGTCAGTGCTGTTAAATCTGCTGGAAACAGAGATATGAGTTTAAATAAAAGTTGTTCTGAAACATCTTGCGACTTGTGCTTCTGTTGTTCTTGGCTTCGTTATGCTTGTACTCCAGGAAACAGGTGCACAGTTTTTTATGATTAAGAACTCCAATATTTGCATTGTGATGTTATGTGTTCATCATGTGGAACTGGATTTTCAAAATTCAGGCTGAATGCTTATTACAGCAGTTTGTACATCGGGTGGTTAGATACAGAGAATATTAGCTACCTGAGCTTATTTTGATTTCTGCATACCTAATTTGGGAAATAATACCCATAATGTTAGCTTGGTGAGTTTATTGTTTTCTTGCGGAGCTCTGAGCTTGTTGTTGCACCTGATAGCAATAGTTTCACTGTCTTCTGAGCTGTTATTTCAGGAATATATGCATAAGTACAGGTATGAAAATTGTTGAGTATATCACAAGGTAAAAATAATCTTAAGCAACTGCTGGGTAATTAATTTTTTTTGATGTATTTATAATAAAAGGGATTTATGCCATCCTGTCTTATTTTAATGTGCACCAAACTCACCTAATTTTTTTTTTCCCCCCTCTGGTTTACCATGTTTTTTTTAATGTCTGTTTTTAAACTAATTTAAATTTTACTTGTAAAACTAACTGTTCATTAGGAATTTTACAATTGAAAGTTCAGCGTCTTTATAGTGCAAATAACAGATTTTACTGTACATGAAACGGCAACATTATTATTACGCCATTATATATAAATGAAACCAAGATTAAAATGTAATTATGCTGGCTAATAGAATTGCCAGTTGAACTTTGAAGGATAATTAGAATCTCATTAGCAGATTTTTGACAATTCTTTTGTCATTCATTTTCCTTCTGAGTAGCTTCTGACCTGTAGTAACAGATGTGATTAATATATACCAGCAAGTGTATAATAGCTGCTGCCTTAAATTAATGTATTTTACATTTGGTTTACTGTTGTTTAGAATTACATACTTCTCAAAAGGGTACAGAATTTAGTAGGAGCGTAATGTGGAGGAAATAAAAAATTTAATTTTAAATAAATTCCTATCGGTTGTCGTAGCTGTGATCTTTTAAATGTTATTCTGGTGGATTTAATATGTTTGGAGTAGGAGATATGACAGATTGTGTAAGAAAACATCTGTTCAAATAAAAAGGACCATATACTGATATATATGAGTGGCGTATCTGTAGAGAAAGTCCATACCATGTAAACATTTCATAGAGGAATGCTTGCTGCAGAGATAAATGTGATAAATGATGGGATTGTTTCCAAAAATATAGCACATTTTAAAAATGAGTTGGGGAGTTTCTTAATGAAAAAGACACTTGGGTGATTGCAGAAATGGTACCTGTCCCACTGAGTATGTTGTAAGAGCTTGTTAGACTTTATGCTACAATTATTCAAACTCCGTACTTAATGTTGCTCTGCTTTCTATTTGGAGTTACCTAGAGGTGGTAAGAGTGAATTATTTAAACTGGAATAATTTTGAGATGTCTTTTAAGACACCCTGATCGAAACAAAACTAAAACCTAACATCTGTTTTCTGCCTTCCATTCTGATGCTGTATCTCAGCCTGTCCCCAAATAAATGTGTGTCTAAGTGGAAATCTTTGCCTTAGTGTGAGAGTGAAAAAGATTATTCTCAGTGACCAAAACTTCTGTAGAGAATTAAAGATGTCATGAAATACAGGAAGATATTGGAAGCTTTCAAGGCTTTGAAATCAAAATTGTTGAAGGATGTAGTTAAAAAGGCTTTGTCTCTTTTACTTATGCTTACAGAGGGGAAAGTTACTTTTTTTCTTCTTTTTTAAATGCTTGTAGAGACCCTATATTCAGCATTCTAATGGTTGCCCAGAAGTTACTGGTTTTATCCAAGCAGGCCCTTCTCCTGAAATGACTAGCAGTGTAATAAACATAGAGTATTACATCCTCAATCTGTCCTTTGATAATTTGGACCAGACAGTTGGGTTTGCTTTTGTGCAGTTGCAGCTTGGCAGGTCTTGTGCTGTTCTTAAACAGCACCGCAGAAGTAACATCCTCAAAAGTGTCACTTTTTCAGAAATGAGATGGGAGTAAAATGATAGTCCTCTCTCTTTTTTCCTCCCCCCAACAGCCGACCGTATACCAACAAAGTTATTACCTTATGGTATCGGCCTCCTGAACTGCTGCTTGGAGAAGAAAGATACACACCAGCTATCGATGTCTGGAGCTGTGGGTAAGAGTTTGGTACAGAAGTGTAGCAAGCGTAAAAACAAACCAAAAATAAAGCTTGAAGTGTTTCTATCGATCCATATTGAAAGCCATAATGATGGAATTGTGCGAAATTCTTTTACAGCTGCATCCTGGGTGAACTTTTTACAAAAAAGCCAATATTTCAAGCGAATCAAGAACTTGCTCAACTGGAACTTATAAGGTAACTTGCAAGCACTATCACATAGTAGGTGTGAACACTAACAAGTACCCAGTTGTTGCCCTGAGTGAGATGTTAGAGGTTTTGAGGGACACGTAAAGAGAGTGACTTGTGCTTGGATGTGGAGAGAGGGTTCTTTTGTGAGTATTCTGTGGTCCTAGTAATGAGCAGTTGAATAGTAAGAGGGTGTGTTGTAGAGCAGCTGGAAGTGGCTGAAGTTGTACGGAGAGAGTAGTCAAAACACCTCTTGTTTTTTTAAGATGATGTTTCAACTTCCTCACAGCAAATCAAAATGAAAACATGGCAATAGTAGGGACAACTGGGATTGGGGAGGAGCAGGTACTTGGTGTGCTACTGGCCTTGAGTTCTTGTTTCAAGCCTTCTACCTACACACCTGGGCTTTATTATTTCTGTGGGAATATTTCTGTTCCATTACAAGCTGGCAGACACTTTATGGAGGTAAAAAATTTTGTTTCTTTCCTTATCTCAATAAATCATAGAATGGTATCTATATAACTCCGTTGAACCAGAGCATCTTTTGTTTCCCCTTTATTCAGCAAGCAAAAATTGCTCTTGATTCTGATATCATAATTGACCTCCTAAGTGAGGAGAGGTCCTCTTCCTAGAAACAAGGGGAAAAGAGGGCGAGTCCTACAGAATTTGTAGAACCTGAACAGTAAATGGTCAACATTATTTTTAAAATTGAATGAATAGAAAACATTCTGAAGTTATATATTGAGATGTTTTTCAAAACAGATTATAAAGTAGCCTGTTTTTGTGTAGTGTGTTTATTAGCTGGCCTGGAAAAATGAAATTTTTAGGAGGTGCAAAGCATATCAGTGGTCATTGTCAGTGTAAGAATTAAACTTGTGAGTTGGGAAACTTTTGTTTTTGAGCACTAGATGGCATTGAAGCACATCACAGTGCAGTCATTTGAAGTTTTTCCTCTTTTGTTGTACCTCTGGTACAGCAAACTAAAATGTTGTGATTTCCTTCTCCTGCAGGAAGCTCCTGTTGGTAGTTCATGTTTCCTCTTCACTGTTCCTATGTATTTTTGGCTGTTTAAATGCAATATATCAATTTAGTCAACACCTCTACTGCCATCATGTTACAGTCAACAATTCTACATTGATTCTTTCTTATTTTAACGTTCAAACATAGAGCTGAAGTAAATTCTGATAGGAAAAGATAGATTTATTATTTCCTTTTTTCCTCCTTAGTTACATACCTCAACCAGTGTAAAGTCAGATTGCTTTGCACAGCAGTCAGGGCTTACCTAACAGATCATTAGGTCTCTTACACTAACAATTTAAGTCTAAAAAATGGGAAGGGTGAACTAGGGAAAGGTATTCACCAAGTGTCCTTTTAGGATAGCCTGCATCAGAGTTTAAAATCTTGCGTATATGGTAAAATGCCTCTGAAGTGTGGTGTGTGTCAACCTGTGCTTAGCCATCCCTGGCTGGGGATGAAGGGGGAGGAATAAGACTGTGGGCAACTCCATTTGTGGAGATAGATGAGGCTCGAGACATAAAACTCATAACTGAAGTAAAAAAATATACAGGCTTCCTAGTGGTCGGATCTTGCTTCTGCCTGTAGGCCTTACTGAGATTGTTCTTTTCCCCCTTACGTCTTCAGTGGCAATTAAATTCTCAGTAAAAAGTGCTTTTTGAGCCATTTGTTGTGTCCTCCTTCACTGGCATTGGGAACTAAGGACATAGAAGTTAATTAGCACTCTAACTCTGGGCTATTCAGTTCTTCAAGTCAAATAATTGAAGTGCTGTCCGGACATCATTGGTTAAGTGTTTCAAAACATTTGTGTGGAGGATGCCTGGGGTGGGGTGAGGCAGAAACATTGGACTTCTTAAATTTAGTCTGTGCAGGTGATTATCTTTCATAGGCAATTCATCATCATTTAATGGTGTTGGGCATTGGAGAGTAGAGAAATTTAAGCTAAAAAGAACCCGAACCTTAAAATTAAATATTATTTCTATATTCACTGTACATGCAAGAATAGAAGTGACAGCTGTGCTGGTGGTGGTTGTGGATCTCATACCCGTTTTTTCTCTTCTTTTTGATACAGCCGAATTTGTGGGAGTCCTTGTCCAGCAGTGTGGCCTGATGTTATAAAATTAGCCTATTTCAACACAATGAAACCAAAGAAGCAGTATCGTCGAAAACTGAGAGAAGAGTTTGCTTTGTAAGGATGAAGAATTAGTTTTCGTCAACTGTGATAGCATTAAGTTTTCCTGGAGAATTTACAAACTTCACTGTTTTCTGGAAAATGAACATAGATAAGAGAAATGGCTTTAGGTTCTTATCCTTCCCATGCTACCCACGGAGCTTGTCTTAACCCTCATTTAATGGGAGCTTCAAGAAGAGGGTAGAGGGCCCTAAAGTTTCAGCCACCTGTCAGCTTTCACCTAAAGAAACATTTGTTTTCTGTGATTGGTACACCTGCTTGTTGTCCCCGTCCAAAAAAACAGCTCAGAGTACTTAATTGGTTTTTTTTATTAGGACAACTGGCTACAGCTAAATATGTGTCTGGTTAACATTACAGTCATAAATTCATTCAACACAGAGGAGTTATCTGAACCGTGTATTGTAAAGTACTACCATTGGACTAGCTTTGTGCAAATATCACGTGTGAAAGTTATGGAAAACAGCTGTAAGCTCATTTTAAAGGGTTTGTTCCCCTCTTTCAGTTACTGTGGGTTTCAGGAGAAGTGTATCATCCTGTTCGTATTAATGAGACTTATATCTTTAAAGCAATAGAATTATCGTCCGTGGACCACTCAAAACTGCAACTCCCTGAATTCCAAAGTGTAAAGTAACAATATAGTCTTGGCTTTAAACTGCATGGGGGGTTTGTAAGGATAATGTTGCAGGTGATTAAACCACGCAAAACAAAGCTTGGGTTATGTGCTAGCACAATAAATAAAAGGTGAGGTTCATCTCTGCCTTTTAATACCAAGTTCAAGTTGTGAGCGGGTTTTAGGCTGTAAGTTATCCAAGGATTTAATGGTTGCTTTGGAAGGGATTTGTTTATTAAAATTTTGCACACAAGTGTGTGATTCGAAATGACCACGCAAAACAAAGCTTGGGTTATGTGCTAGCACAATAAATAAAAGGTGAGGTTCATCTCTGCCTTTTAATACCAAGTTCAAGTTGTGAGCGGGTTTTAGGCTGTAAGTTATCCAAGGATTTAATGTTCTGTTGCTTTGGAAGGAATTTGTTTATTAAAATTTGGTACAGAAGTGTGTGATTCGAAATTAAAATGTGATGTTTTTCTCCATTTTGCTCTTTTGTAGCATCCCACCAGCTGCATTAGATTTATTTGATTATATGCTGGCTCTGGATCCCAGCAAGCGCTGCACAGCCGAGCAAGCTCTTCAGTGCGAGTTCCTGCGAGACGTGGAACCATCTAAAATGCCTCCTCCAGAGTAAGTGATTTCCTTCAGCAGTGGTCCTTACCTCTGTGAAATGTGAACAGATTTCATTAAGGTCCTTGTGGTTCAGTTAAAGTAGATTACTTGGTTGATACGTAGAGTTGTTTAATGGTGATTCTGCACTAAAATGGTTGTGCAGCTGAAGCGACTCTTACACCACAATAGCAGTGGTTGTGAGGATCTGTGAACTGTTTTAATTGATTATTCCTAGAACTAGTTACTGAGTTAGTACCTTTAAAAAAACCAACTGTTATATAAATGCTTCTAATGTTGAAAACCCGTCATTTCCCTTTTATCTCTTTTTATCGGTGTCTACTTTTTCCAAGGGCTTTGAGGTCCTCCATGAATCTGAATTGCCTTCTTTGATGGTAGAATGACACTGGGTATAGAATTCTGCAAAGGTACCTGAGAGTTAAAGTGAAATACCATAAATCATTTCCTGTGCCAGATGAGAATCTTGGTTTTATAGGCAGAAGTGAAATACTCTTGTGCAGGATTTTTCCTGTTAGTTTTTCTGAGAGGAAATGTATCGCGATGTCCAGCAGGGTTTTTGCAGTGATTTAATTGTCATTTTAATCAGTACAAATCATATTGGAACTGGTCGTGAGGGAAACAATGAAAAGGTATTAGAGAATCTGCAGGTTTCATTCTTCCCTCGAGATAGCTGTTGAAACATAGACCATTTAATGTTGTTTGAGTACACTGTACCTTCAAGGCAGCCTGTACTGACTGCTTTTTAATTAGTTACCAACTGGGAAAAATGTTTGCGTTTTCTCAAGACATTTTAATGAAATCTTAGATACTTACCTTTTCCATACACACTGCTGTCACTAATGCTCCTGACACATGTGGCTGTGAGCTTTCATTGCCTGAATATGATGACATACACTCTTCGAGTTTCAGAAATCAGCAATCTTAGGCTATTCACTAAAATCTCAGAGCCACTTGTACGGCATGTTGCTTATATGTCTGTTAAAATAAGTGAATGGGAAGAAGTTTGGGTTTTATCTGGGGTTTGGTAATACATCTCTTCTAGAAGCTGATATGTGGGAGTTCAAAACAAGACAGTCATTGGTGTTCTTTAAAAAATGAAGAGGAACTACACTCCTCCTGACAGAGCGTGCACAGGGAAGTGTTGACTCTTCTTCTCGAAACAACAATGCTCTGCTTTGGGAAGAAACAGCTGTTCATTCAAAGAAAGTGCCAGGGCTGACTGCAAGGACTGCAGGACCCTTCTCACAATGAGTTCTTGTTTGCTTCCAGTTGGTTTTGACTAAATACTTGGCAGGTCTTTGACCTGATACACAGAGGGAGAGAATAAAGGAAGCAGTTGTCATTAATTGCCTTTCCAGTCGCTCTTGTCACCTCTGTCACCTCATTTTTCCATGTTCCTGGGTGAGGGAACTGCTCAAACATTTATAATAATATGTAATAGGAAAATAGTAAATATAGGCACTATTTTTAGTGCCATCTGTGGGGTGGGTCTCCATGTTCCTCAAGAAATCAGAATTGGGATGCCCGCAGAGAACAGGAATAGGACAGAACTGGTGGCAGATGACTTCCTTAGGAGACTTTTGTCTCTGCTTTTATCAGTCTTAAAGGACTGGGATATCCCTTGTTCTTACTGGTATCCTAACTTTGCTAGTGTCAAGTGCTACTTTCTTTCTTATTTTTCTTTCCCCTCCCTACTTTCTTGGTTATCTGTGCCGTACAACTATGGTTTTTTATCAGAGTTAGGTCGATGGTTAGACTAGATGATCTTAAAGGTCCCTCCCAGCCTAGACAATTCTATGATTCTACAAATCATAGAATTTGTAGGTGGCCATGTTTGTTACTGTGGACAAATACTTGAACTCATTAAGCAGTTGTATTTTTACAAGCAGACAAAAGGAATTGGTCACTTGGACCCTGAAAAAAAAAAACCAAAAACAACTTTCAAATGAAAACTCTGTTATCAGTTACTCTGCAAATTCTGTTTTCTAGCAGGTGTGCAGCATTGATATTGAAGTCTTTGATTACACAAATAATTAGGCTTTCTGCCAGAGGGAGCTGTGCTTCTGAAATAGGCAATCAGTGAAGAGATTTCAGCCGGAAAAAGCAGATCTGAGATTTTGCTGGTTTTGAGTGTTTTCTGATGCCTTTCTGAGTTCCAGTAGGTTCCTCTTTCAAAAGTTACATTATGTATGATTTGAGCATTTCTTTTACAAACATGGTTTTAAAAAAAAAATTTAAAAAAGAAATTCTGGGATAAAACTGATTATCTCTAATCATTTTTTTAGTTCCAGTAGGTTCCTCTTTCAAAAGTTACATTATGTATGATTTGAGCATTTCTTTTACAAACATGGTTTGTTCCAGTAGGTTCCTCTTTCAAAAGTTACACTATGTATAATTTGAGCATTTATTTTACAAACCTGTTTTAAAAAAAAAAATTTAAAAAGGAAATTCTGGGATAAATCTGATTATCTCTAATCATTTTTTTGCAGCCTTCCTTTGTGGCAGGATTGCCACGAGCTGTGGAGTAAGAAACGCAGAAGACAGAAGCAGATGGGCATGACTGATGACTCAACAGCAGCTAAAGTCCCTAGGAAGGATCTTTCTCTAGGCATGGATGAGAGCAGAACCAACACCCCACAAGGCATGCAAACTTCTTCCCAACTCAAAACTCAGGGCAACTCTAGTGTAGCACTTGGTCAGTAATATTTTCGGTTCTTATAATTACCTTCTACTCGGATTGCACCTCTAGAAATTTTTAGATATTATTTTCACAGTACTGACATCTCCTGGATTCTTGAGGGAGGAACAGTATTGTAAGTTAAACCTTTGTTACAGAAGATTTAGCTTTGCTTTTTGGAAATTAGGTGTTCCTTTTAAGTTTTACTTAATTTTTCAATCTGGTCGGAGCAACTACCTTGCTCTGTATTTTGAGGGGATTTTATCTCTTGCTTATCTATAATTCTTCTGTAATCCCACAAGTCAGCTGCTGCTGTAAGTTCCTCATAATCTCTGTAAATTGGAGGAGCTTTATTGGTATTGATAGGCCGTTTAGAACATTTCAAATTAAACAGATGTTTAATTTGCATGTTATGTTAGTCTTCAGCTTTCCAAGTTGTTGGGGTTGAACCAGATTGTAAAAGAAGATAAGCACCAAAAAACCCACCCCAAAACCTGGTGTAACAAGAAGTAGCTACCTCTGTAGATTGCACAGCCATTAATTCTGAAATGGGTCCAGTGGAGGGCCATGAAAATGGTGAGAGGGCTGGAGCACCTCTCCTGTGAGGACAGTCTGAGAGAGTTGGGGTTGTTCAGCCTGGAGAAGAGAAGGCTCTGAGGAGACCTTGTAATGGCCTTCCAGTGTGGAAGGGGGCTCCAGGAGAGATGGGGGGGGACTCTTTATCAGGGAGTGGAGTGATAGGACAAGGGGTAATGCTTTTAAACTGAAAGAGGGGAGATTGAGATGAGATATTCGGAAGAAATTCTTCCCTGTGAGGGTGGTGAGACACTGGAACAGGTTGCTCAGAGAAGCTGTGGCTGCCCCATCCCTGGAGGGGTTCAAGACCAGGTTGGATGGGGCTTGGAGCAACCTGGTCTGGTGGGAGGTGTCCCTGCCCAGGGCAGGGGGCTGGAACTCAATGATCTTTAAGGTCCTTTCCAACCCAAACCATTTTATGATTCTAACTTAACTGAAGCATCTTGCTTGGAGACCAATTTTATGAATATAATATGAAGAGTGAAGTAATAGTTCCCTGTGTGAACACCATTTGAGGTTCTCAGCAGTCCGAATGAATACCTCATAAGTTTAATTTAGACCATTTTTGATCGTGCAAAGTGACCATAAATCCTGTGGTGCTGATAACACTAGTTCAGCTGAAGGAAAACAGGAAATGCATTCGCATGGCCTGAAAATTCTTTAATACTAACAGTCTTGAATCAACTTTTCATGTAACAGTAGAACAGAGCTCAAAATGCTCTGTGTAAAGACATACAGAAAATAGTTATTTTATCATCTTATTGCAATTTATTGCCTCTTGCTCCTGTTCATCCTGTTTCTCACTGCAAGCCAGCTGGGAGCTTCTGCCACTCTGTATGTTTAGACTAAAGTCTTGACAGCGTTTTAAAGGGTAACTTTCTGTAGCCCTTAAAATTTCCTCCCCCTTCCAAACGGAAACTCTATCGAAGTTTAAAGAGTCCAAAGGATAGTAGCTGTTTTCTCTGTGGTTTTATAACAGGTAGGCCAGTGAGAGACTACTATGTTTATTAGTTATTAATACTAACCATGGAAAATAAAGTAAACAAATAGAGAAGGAATCGTTCAGACCTAGATTGCTCTTTGCCCATATGTGCATAGAAAAATATATCTAGGTGAAAGAGAAGACAATTTAAGTTTAGAGTAGTTCAGCATAGAGGTGACTTCTTTATTAAGCAAACGCTTCTGGAAGCCATAACTCACCATAGATAATATCCTTGATAAAGCACACTGAAGAACTCTACGTACAAATGCATGCTTTAAACAAAACGGTTGCATTTGTTACTGAGCACCCCAAAAGAAGATGTTAAAACCACCTCGGATCAATTGTAATGTTCTGATTTATGAATGGGAGCCCTGGTTAATGCATTTTACAATTTAACAGGAGTTACGTAGAACTCAAAAATTATGGTAGAAACTGCCACATTTCCTAAAATACAGTTTGCTCTTGGAATGGACTTGAAACGAACCAAAGAGTATGGAATAGGTAGATTAGTTTCCCTGTTTGGCATTTTTCTGCTGAATTTTCACTGAGAGTATGAGTGACGTTTGAGTGTTGAGCATAGCATCCTCAGATGTTACAAAATCAAGTGGTAAGCATGACATCTGAGTGAGAGCCAGCAGTAGAAATTATGGGTTTTTTTCTGTATCGCCAAATAAAGTTACTTTGACATCTGAGTGAGAGCCAGCAGTAGAAATTATGGGGTTTTTCTGTATTGCCAAATAAAGGTATTTTTATATTTTTATAAGTATATCAAATCAATGATGTCCCTGGATCCTGCCTGAGTAGGTTCCAAGTGCTCGTATCCTGGTGCACATCCACAGGAAGGCTTGTGGGTTTTGCAGCACTTTCCAGCTGTGCTGCTCTTAGCCTTGCAAGGCAAATACTGAATATTTTTGTGTGTGTGACCTTTTTTTTGAAGCATAGCTTTGAATTAGTGTGCTGTGAATTAATATATTCGAGAATTAGCAAGATGGCAGGGATAGAGGAGGACAGAATGTGTTTGTGTTGGTCTGGATTAAAAAAATTCAGGGCTCTTCCAGCACACTCACACGTTTTTTAATTTAATTTTTTTAATAAATAATAAATACACACACTCTCATTTTTTAATTTTTAACTGCTTTCTTGCCTAAGTCGTCTACTCATAGGGCGTGTTGAAATTCATGCTGCTTCACTTCTCCTTTCAAAATAAACTACAGCAGTGGGTGTTTGAAACTAAGAAACTACTTTGATATTCTGACTTCCTTATTCATCATCACAACCTCCTCTTATTTGTGGCGAGCTCCCTTTCGTTGAAGAAATTGCATATTGTCACAAACCAGCATTTCCCTGCCGCTCAGTAATTGACTTCTTGTCCTTCAAATTCAGCATTTGCTTTTTGCATTTATATTGCTGGTTTCTGGGTCACCCGGAGCCTGGTCACTCGAGCAGGTGTTGGAATCCAGATGCTGAATTGGAATGGGCCAGAAAATGACTGGAAATGCGTTTTGCAGGTGCTGCTTGTTAACAGAGGGATGTGATACGTGGAAGATAGGAAATTTTGAGGGGATTGGAAATCTTAACAGCTGCCTAAAGCAGGTGGCCTTAAGCCTCAGCTTAGTTGTGTGGTGGATAATTGAGCTCCAGCGTGATGTTTCTCATCTGTCCAAGTGCGTGTGTGCACCCCTTGGAAGTCACTTTGTTGGATCTCACTCTTCCATTTCCTATAGGTACTCCCCCAAAGGCAGTTACTGTGTAAAAGCATTCCATTTCTGTGTTGTCCAAACCCATGCTTTGCCATTTGTGTCAGCCGTGCTAGATTAGTCTTACTTTTGAGTTTCTGAAATGTGCCAGTTCTAAATAATACTTAAAAAACACCTTTTTTGTCTTTAGCAAAAACAAGCACTGGACAGCAGTTAAACCAGAATGAAGTGGCAATCCTGCTAAACCTGCTACAGTCTAAAACAAGTGTTAGTTTGGCACAGTTTGCCCAAGTGTTGAATATTAAGGTAAACCCAGAGACTCAGCAGCAACTAAATAAAATAAATCTTCCTGCTGGAATTTTGTCAGCAGGTGAAAAACAGTCAGAACAACAGCAGCAGCAGCCGCCGCCGCCTCCGCCACCACTGCCGGAACAGGAGTCCCTAAAACAGCCGACCGTCACCCAACCTCCTGTACCCCCTGCTCAGCCTAAAGTTGAGACTGATGCTGCCCAGGCAGCCGTGCAGAGCGCCTTTGCTGTTCTCTTGTCCCAGTTAATAAAGGCTCAGCAAACAAAACAAAAAGATTTTGCCTCGGAGGAGAAGGAAAACGGATCGGGAAACGAAATGTCCTTACAACTCAGGCAGCCTCCAGAGCCCACCACTCCCGTCTCCGTCAACCGGGACGACGTGGAATCTCCAGCACCCGGCTACCCACATCTCATCAAGTCATTGTATACATCTGCAGGTACTGGAGGTCTTTATTGCTAATTGGGGGATACCCCCAGGTGGTGGAGACATAATGGTTTGGGGAGAAAGAGTCAACAGGTTGACTGTTAGTCTGTGTGAGTATAGGAGAGGTGATGGAATCGAGTGACGTTTGATCACATTTGATGTCTGGATCATAGAATTTGTGTCTTGCTGTAGGAGGTGCCACCCAGGCAGAGCAGAAGATGATCCCCATCCTAAGAGGTTGCACAAATGCTGGTGGTATCTCTGATGAGACAGTTACATTGTGGGGGTCATTCCGGGTGCTCGGGGTTTTCTCAGTGGTTTTTATGGTGAAGACAGTCGTCTCTAGCAAATTCTGAGATGGGATTTGCCAGTTCTTCTTGTGTGTTTAGGTGAAGCCTATTTTGGGGAGATTTTGGTTATTTTATTTTCGTTTTTAATGCTGACTAGAGCAATTGCTTAGTGTCAAATTCTTTAAGTGGTTACCTGTAACTGTTGCTAACACACGTGGTTGAAGGTTTCCATTGGGGAATGGTGATGGTTTCTTGAGTCTTCTCAAACCCTAGAGCTCTGTTGTTGATCTTACTGTTATATGGCAGTTTACGTATTGCTTGCTTAGTGTCAAATTCTTTAAGTGGTTACCCATAACTGTCGCTGACACATGTGGTTGAAGGTTTCCATCGGGGAATGGTGATGGTTTCCTGAGTCTTTTCAAACTCTAGAGCTCTGTTGTTGATCTTAGTGGATTATTGTTGTGGTTTTGTTATATGGCAGTTTACGTATTGCCCTGTGGTGTTTGCAGCTCTTGAAAGAAATATTCTAAAGTGATTTGGGGGTGTCTTTTGAGGTTTTTTTGGGTGGGTTTTTTTGTTCATGTTTTTTTTTTTTTTTAACCTTAGGTTTTGCTGTCCCTTGGTAGGGTGCCCTTTTGTCCCTCAAGACTTTTATCCCTATTTGCAAATATTTTCTGATCCCTCTTTGAATTTTTTAGTGTTTGTGTTGCTTGAGTTTTATTTTGGGTTTGTTTTGTGGTGTTTTTTTTTAAAGAACTTGTACCCTTTTTATTTAAACTGCTTGCTTGGTAATCTTGCTGCGAGGAGAAACCTGCATCAACCTCCTGAGGCAAATGAGCTGTTGCCTTCTCCAGAATAATCTGTCCGACTACCAATATGTTTAATATATTAATGAAAATTGAAGTAACAAACGGCTGTGGTGTTCCAGGAAGGAGTCCTGTCCTTTCTGGTGTTGTTATTGTATATTTTTATTCCAAAGCTTTTCTTTTTCATCTGCTTAGGTCAAGAGGATTTGGTTAGGCAGTCGGAGATGAGGCTTCTAAACCGAACACCCGAACAAGAACGCCCTCGGATCTTGCCTCCAGACCAACGTCCCCCAGAGCCACCAGAGCCTCCACCTCTCACTGACGAAGACCTTGATTATCGGACAGAGAACCAGCATTTGCCTATAAGTAACTCTTCAGGAACAGATCCTCACGCAGGGGTGAAGGCAGCTCTTCTCCAGCTGCTTGCTCAGCATCAAGCTCAGGCGACGACGGAGGAGCCGGTCCAAACGAGCGTGGATTATCAGGCTAGAGACTCCTACATGACAGGCCCAGACTACAAGGATAACTTTGGATCATCATCTTCCTTCTCCTCTGCCCATTACGGCAGCAGCGACGGAATAGGAAGCGGGTCGTCAGGAGCTTTAGAAAGGAGGAGCTTCCTTGGAAACTCGGATATTCAGTCTTTGGATAACTACAGTACTGCTTCATCTCACTCGGGTGGTGCCCCTCCTCCTCCGCCGGCCTTTTCGGAATCCTTTCCCAGCTCAGTAACTGGTTATGGAGACATTTACCTCAACGCTGGCCCCATGCTGTTCAGTGGAGATAAAGACCATAGGTTTGAGTACAGCCACGGCCCCATCCCTGTTTTGGGGAGCGGCGGCGAGGCTTCCGCGGGGCCGGAGAGCACGCACTCTTTGCCCACAAAGATGCACAACTTTAGCTACGGAAGCAATTTACAGGAAAATCCCAGTGGCATGGGCCACATGCATGGACAGACTTGGACTTCTCCTGCCCAAGGACCTGGCTATTCCCAAGGATACAGGGGACACATTAGCACATCCGCAGTGAGAGGGCGAGGCAGAGGATTACCATATTGAGTATCTGTTTTTCCTCAGGCACATCATTTTTATCTGGAAAAACTTTTTTGTTTTGTTTTGGTTTTGTTTTAGTTTTTTTTTTTTTTTTCCTAGCTGCAGTTTAAAGCAGCAATTCAACAGACTTGAATAATGTTAATTCAACAGCTTTATTTTTATGTGGAAAAGGGTCTTGCATACAGTAGGAAAAATTAAAAATGCTTAAAGCTCATGCTGTCTGAAAAAAAAACTAGATAAATTGATTGTACATGTTCACAAACTCTAGTTCTGAATTTTATTTTGTATTTTGGCAGTTTTAAGTGGTTGCTAAATTTAGGGACATCAGCTTTTTATGGCACTCTTTCAGATCTTCTGAACTATGCACATTTGTGCTTTTTTTGTAAGTTTGGACCAACTTTTATGTAAAAAAAAAATAATTTTACAACAATCAAAGCAGGGCACTGATTTATTTGGTATTTTTCTTTTTACAGAACTACCTTTAGTCAAAGGTCACTGTCAGTCTTTGCACTGCTTTCAGTGTTATTGTGGAAGGTGTACTTTGTGCTCATTTCAGATAATAAAACACAACCTTTCTCTTGATGCAAAATTTTATAAATATTTGGTCAATGTTATTTTTTTTTTTCTTTCGAGAAAAAAAAAGAATGGATGTTCTGATAAAATGTTCTCTCCATCTCCCAGGCTTGTTTATATAAAAACTGTTTTACTTGAATGGTAAGTGCCTTAACATGTAAGCTTAAGGTCTGCAAAAATTTGGAAGTACTTTATAGGTCGATACGAAAATAATACCTAAACTTAGGTAGTTAACAGGAAAATCCAGATAATTATAGGCAACTCGAATAGGTCATAACCTTGTGCTGTTTATTTCATGTGGGCCAGTTATTTAGAGACCTAATCTTACCTTGATGAAATGGTAATTTCCCCACTGAACTTGATGAGAAACAAGGAAAGCGAGGAGAAGAATGGGTAGGTTTTCCTCAGCTCCCTCTTGGAGTTGTAGTGTTTTAGTTCCTCTGCCAAATAAACTCCTTTACACGTCCTTCCCAAGTGATTAAATAGTTTTGTTTTTTGGTTTTTTTTTCTCTTAAATGTCAACAGCAGTAATTACTTTGTGTGAAAAGCTGACACTGTTCTTTTTACCGCAAGTACTGCATTAATAGGAAGTAACCAAAGGAAAAATGAGCAGTATTTAAAGCAACAGCAAAACGTTTGACACTAGTTCTAATTCTCTGTAAACTTGTGGTTGTGCCAATGAATCCAATTTTATATTCGCTATTCCACAGAACATTTAATATTGGAATCTCTCTGAACAACGGATAAAATGACTGCAGTTAAAAAAACTCTTTACCAAGAGCCACTCCTCATATTAATTACAGCTTAATTACGGCTTCCAGCATGGATTTTTTTTGGTGTTTTTGTTGTTTTTTTTTCCTTTGACAACAAGTGGTCTCTCTCCTGCAGAGAGGGGAGGTATGGTTATATTTTGCATGTACGTAAAAGAATGTTTTAAAGCCCATATTGGAAATAATTTTCCAACTGATTCTCCAGTTGACAAATCGGTACCTTATGTAACTGAGTGTTTAATTATTACTTTTTAAAAAGTAAAATTTCTACTTACACTATTACAAATGTAGTCTTGTCGGTGACTTTTTGGATTTTTTCAGAATAGAAGGCAAAGTTGTTGGTGTTTTGGTTTGGTTTTAGTTTGCAAATCCTGGTTCCTGTCTGGCTTAATGACCGCGCTGTAGAGCGTGGAGAAACTCGTTTCGCTAATTACGTAGCGATTGAGGGTCTGGGAGAGGAGAAATGGAGAGACAAGAGAGAAAGAGAGTGTTGTGCTGCTCCTGGTGTCCCTGTGAGTCTGGCAGTTGCCCTCTCCGGGCACAGCAGAGAATCCTGCCCTTGGAAAATAAAGGTGACCTGCTCAGAAACAAATACTTAACGACCCAAATAAGCCTGTGCTTAAAAAAAAAAAAACCTAAAGCTTGATGTGTGAATGTCAGTGCACTGAGTAGTTTTCCCTGAGTGAGGACACCCCCGTAGCTTTTTTTCTGCTAGTAAAATTTTCAAGGCAAAAATCATTAGTTTGGTTTAGATACAGACAGTGTCGGCTGAATCCCCCAGTGATAAACACAGATTGCCTTTTTTTTGTTTTTTTCAGAATCAAGCAAAAGACTTCCAAAGCAGTTGCTTCTTTTGTGCAGTCTGGTGTTACTCTCCTCACAGCAAAATTAGCTGCAGGTGATAATTAGCTAAAGAAAGCAGGTAAGTTCAAATGGAAGGTAGATCTTGGAGGACTAAATGATTTCACTCGCGATACAAAAATGCAGGGAAGATTTTTGTGCCTCCTACTTGCTTCCCTTTTGGAGGTAAACTTTCAAGTTATTTAGTTCACCTCCTTCAACGCAGAGAAGTCGGTCTCCTCTGCGCATCTGAAGGACTGGAGCGGTTTCCTTAGGGGCTGGCAGGACTCTGATGGGGCATTGTTCACCCAAAATCTGTTGAATGAAAAAAAAAAACAACGAACAAACAAACCACAAAACCCACAACAAACACCCCAGCAGGAGGAATCCTGACTGTGAGGAGAGAGAGAGGAGGAGGTGCCATAGACAGTTGACTTCCAGCTGAATCAGAAGTGAAACCCTGGCGCGCTGAGCAGTGACGTTGCCCCAAATTGAATTTAAGGATTACTAACCTCTGACTTGGAAGGCTTTTTTTAAATTTTTGGCCTGGGACTGTAGCCTTGGGATCATTTGGAGGGAAAGTTGATGGTATTTCCCTATATGAGAACTGGGAAGGGATCACCTTCTCTGCAACCCGGGGGGATCTTCTCAGCTCTTGGGCTGCCAGCCTTCCCTCCTGGGCAGGCGGAGGCTGCGTGTGGGGCAGGAGCTCTGCCCTCCCTCCGTGGGGCAGCCCTCGGGGTGCCTGGCAGGAGGATTCCTCCTCCAGCCCCAGAGTTACCCCTGGGCAGGTTAGGAGCTGGGGAACTGCCTGGATCTAAGGACTGTAGGTCCACGTTCGTTTGTACCAGACCTGTCTTATTATCTCTCCAAAAAAAAAATTATTTCGAATTAAATCACACGACAAGGTGCTGACGTTCATTGAGAATTTTTACCCTTTTTGGAACAAACGTCGCAGGGCAGAGCGAGCCCCCACCTCCTTTGGTGCTTCACCTCCTGTGGCTGTTGGGGTTTTTGGATGCAGCAGTAGACATTCTGGAAAAAAACTGCCTCGTTTTTTCTGTGGAGCCGTGGCTTTTTGTTCCTTCCCATTCATTCCTTGAGGTTTACATTTCCTCTGCTGCTGTTCCAAAGCGTGGAAATACAGAGACCTGGAGGCTGCATCACAAAGTAAGTGTCGTGTGTTTGTATTTCTAAAGAAACGTAGCAAAATACTCTAATCCCCCACTATGGAGTAGAAAGTACTTCATTATTTATATGAAGTGGTCTTTAGCCATACCAAGAGGAGGAAAGAGCACGACTGGACCACTGTGACCAGGACTTAAAACACTTTAGACTATTACTAAATACTTTAAAACCAGCCAAAGGAAAAGGAAGCGGCTTTTATGGTGGGATGGCTCCTTGTTACCTTTTAACAGAAGGAGCAGCGTTAGGAAAGAGGTGTAAAAAGATGTGTATTGTTAAATGTTAATATAATATTTTGGTTTTGTTTTTGGTTTGGGAAAAAATTAATTTTAAAAATGGCACACTTTTCTATTTTCTGACGTTTCCATAAGAGGGGGGCTGAGTTGAGTTGCCCTTTCTGGAAGCAGAGGCAGGAGGGCTGGCACGGCGGTCCCCAGCGATTCCCAGTGCTCGGTGCAGGAGGCAGTTTGCTCCTGGGTGAGTTTATAACAGAGAATGGTGTGGTCTGGGGTAACAGGATACCTCTTGTCTGCGGGCAAATTAGATCTCAGACCACAAATTCTCTTCCCAAGAGAGAAAAATGCTCCCGTGTTTCTTGCGTTCTTCTTTTGTGTTAATAAAACACACAAGCGTTCTTACAGACAATGCTTCTCCAGCCTGTTCCATCACGCTGGTTTTTACAGGAGGAAATTTGGGCTTTTTCCCTTCTTGATAGTTTCGGGATGTTCTGTGCACGCAGAAATGTGTCATGAGTTTAAGGAATCAGCCAGAAAAACTAAGTTGAATGCTGTATTTAAAAAATGAAATGACCTTGGGTTGGCTTCAAATCGAACTAACTTTTGCTTATCAGGGTGAAGAATGCTTTATTGCAGGAGTTATTTCAAGACAACCTAGTTGAAAATAATCAAACTGTTATGCTTCAGCTTGCTTTCTCTTTGTTATTTTAAGCCATTTGTATATAAAATGTATTGTGCGGCCTGTAAATAAAAAAATTCAAGTGAAAGCTTGAAGTCTTCCCTTGTTTTCCCTTCTCTGGTTCTCCAGTGGCATTTCGGAAGAACGTTGGGTTAAAGCGGGTTAAAGCAAGGTTCTGGCTTCAGATCATCTGCTTTTTGGTTTTTTCTTCTCCTGGATCAGCAAAGTTAATGAAAACATTTGGCATCTTTGCATAAATGTATGCTTTCATCCCAAAATGAGCCCCTTGGCATCTCTTTGGTGCTCTGAAGCACCAAAACTCCCTGCAGCACCTCCCTGATGAGGAAAGGCTCAAGGAGCTGGGACTCCTTAGCCTGGACAAGCGAAGACTGAGGGGAGACCTTATTTATGTTTATAAGTATCTAAAGGGTGAGTTGAAGGAAGTTGGAGCCGGAATCCTTTCAGTGGTTTCCAGTGACAGGACGAGGGGCAATGGGCACAAACTGGAACATGGGAAGTTCCACTCAAATATGAGAAAAAACTTCTTTATGGTGAGGGTGTCAAAGCCCTGGCAGAGACTGCCCAGGGAGGTCTTGGTGTCCCCATCTCTGGAGATCTTCAAGCCCTGCCTGGATGCTCCTGAGTGATGTGCTCTGGGCAGCCCTGCTTTGGCAGGGAGTTGGACTGGATGGTCTCTAGAGGTCCCTTCCAACTCTGACAATTCCTTGATTCCGTGAAACCCCAGGTGGGAGAGGCTGCTGCCCTCAGGGCTTCGATACCGTGTTGGTGATGGGGTCCAAAGGAGGGGTCGGTGAAGGTGCAACGGGAGGTTGCAGGCGTTTCAGAGGCGTCCTGTGACATGGGGCTGGCAGAACATGGAGCTGTAGCCCAAAGCATCTTCTCACTTTGGAGACAACGCTTTGGTGGCAGTTGCGATCAGAGCCTGGGTTTTGATTCTGGTGACCTGTGGGAGAGGCTGCTGCCCTCAGGGCTTCGATACCGTGTTGGTGATGGGGTCCAAAGGGGGGGTCGGTGAAGGTGCAACGGGAGGTTGCAGGCGTTTCAGAGGCGTCCTGTGACATGTGGCTGGCAGAACGCGGAGCTGTAGCCCAAAGCATCTTCTCACTTTGGAGACAACACTTTGGTGGTGGCTGCAATCAGAGCCTGGGTTTTGATTCCAGTGACCCTGTTCTCAGCCATTGGAATGGGCTGCCCAGGGAGGTGGTTGAGGCCCCATCCCTGAAGGTGTTCAAAAGACGGGTCGATGTGGTGCTGGGAGATCTGGTTTAGTGATGGTGTTGCTTTTTGTTTGTTGTGTGGGTGTTTATTTTTGTCAAAATTAGGTTGACGGTTGGACAAGATGATCTTTAAGGTGCCTTCCAACTTAGAAGATTCTGTGCCCCATCCAGGCCGTGTTGTGTTGGATGTTGAGTTGCACGGAGCCCATCAGACAGTTGTGTGAAACAATTTCTCCTTGTCTGCTGTTTTTCTCGTTAAACTGCTGTTGTAACTAGTGATGTGACGAAGCCGGCTCTGGTTTATGTTGGAGTAGGAACCTTCAGGGGTCTGAGAAAGGTGCTGTGGCCCTTTCATTCAGCTGTGAGGGCCCTATGGCCACCAGGCTCTGCCCAAAGGTACCAGTCACGGACTCCGGTGGGATTTCCCTGTGAATGGAGACTCTCAGCTGCAAACAACGGGGCGTGGGGTGAAAGAGGAGAGAGAGAGAGAGACAGACAGACAACTGCAGGACAACAGCCTGTGCCAACACAGAGCAAGGGAAGGTGTCTGTGAAATCGGTGGTGAGGGAGGCAGCAAACCATCTCCTCTCGCTGCCCCTTTTTAAAGCCACTTGCTCGTTACGGCTGCTTATTTGGGGCTTTTATTTATTTATATTTTTTTGTTGCCCGTGGAGAAAACTCACCGTCAGCGGGATTTAACTTGGGAGGAACTTTGAGTCTGAGCCTCAGGTCTTATTTTCTTTTTTTCTTCAGGTACAGCAGCCCCTTTCCAAGAGGTGATACCGGGATCGCTTTCCACAGTGTGGCTTCCAGCCCCCTCCAACTCCTCCTCGGAGGGTCTTCTGCCTGAACGATGGGTATGGCAAGTTCTCCTGATGTGAGAAACATGTCTCTAATAGGACTTTTTGCAAAGAGCCTTTGTGAATGGTGGTGGGTTGTGGTTTTTTGTTGTTGTTGTTTTTTTTTTTTCCAGTATTAGAAAAATACAGCGTAGAAAAGACACAACTGGGTGGGAAAGGGAACACTTGAGTGTGAGCGTTACAGAAACCAGCCTGGGAGCTGGTGGGACTCATGAGCAGATCTGAGAGCTGTCTGCTGCCCTTAAGGTAACTTGGGGGGATTAACTGGTTTCTGTGGTTAGTGTTTGATTGTGGGTTGTGCAGATGGGTGTCTCAGCTGTACCCCCGCCTCCACGTGAGGGTACGGCAACAGCTGAGAGAGGAGGTACCTGGAAGCAAGGTTTTAATGGGCAGGTCTAGCCCAGAATGGTGCCTTTTTTCTTTCCTCCTGCAAGTTCTCTTCAGACTTGTTTTACAAATGTGTAAAATACATTGGCAGGTTCTGACATGGGGGTTAAAAAAGGCCGTTTCTCCTGCCTGTCAGATGTTTTTGAGGATCTTTTTTGAGCAACCTGGTCTGGTGGGAGGTGTTCCATGGGGTTTCCCCCCAGGGCAGGGGGTTTGCAACTAGTTGATCTTTAAGGTCCCTTCCAACTCTAACCATTCTATGAAAGAGCACCAAGGCTTAGGATAGATGAGGTTGTTTCTCATTCTGTCCTGGGCAAGTTGTTTAGCCTCATTCTGCCTTGTTGCCCGTCCACAAAACATGAATAAATAGTTATACCCTATCCCTCAGGATCAACATCAGAATAAAAGCATTGCCTGAGTTTCTCAAAGACGCTGGCAAGTGCTAAGGATCATTAGAAAAAAAAAAACTTAACTTCTTTCTTCACTTAGTAACTTCTTGATCTACACCCCTGTGAAGGAAAGTGTGATCGAGGAACGAGGGCTTCTGCTTCGCAGCTGACTCGATGGTGAAAACCAGGTAGCAGCTACACAGGAGGAGTGTGCCATCCCCTGCCTTCCTGCGCTGGGGTTTAAGCCAAAAATACATCCCAGTTTTGGGAAATAAAGGCTGCTGTGCAGGGTGCACAAAGCTGGCAGGCAGAGTCACCCGTGGGCAGTCCTGTGACCTTCCCCACCCTGTACAACTATTGTCATCTCCAGGCTGGAGTCCTTGCCCTCAATACAAACCCTTCCTGCTTCCTAACCTGCAACTGCACAACAAAGATTAATCATAACCATTTATTTTAATACCTTTTTTTGGGGGGTGTGTGTGAAATTCATTCACTGTGGTGGGAAAAAATAGAGAACTACAGAAGATGTGGGGAATGAACAGAAAGCTCTTCATGGTGTCTATGAGAAGCGGGGCAGTAAATAATAATAATTAAAAGCTTATCTGCAGATGGCCCGGTGGTTCCACATCAGGAAAGTATTACTGCAAACCTGGCAGACTTTATTAGAAGCTACATACATTTTTCTCCCCAGGTTGCTCCTCGTTACGGGCTGCAGACCCTGCCTGAGCCTCCCCAGCCAGCACAGACAGTTACGCGGGACAGCGGAAGGAGACATGCAGGTAGCAGTAATCATTTTTATTTGCAAACTGTACTTGCAATTACAATATTGCCTTTTGGGAATCAATGACCACAAAAAAAACCAACCCCAAATCCCACAGACTTTTGCAGACCTCTTCTATCCAAATTTCAACCCTATTTCGGTTCCTAGCGTCAGGGAAAGCGGAGATGGCCTTTGCTTTCAACTGAACTCCTGGGAGGATCCACTTTGGGTTTGGTGGTAGTGGTTTTTGTGTTTGCAATTGATAGTAAATCATAATTTCATACAAATTTTTAAAATATGAATTCACATGCACCAAATTTTTGTGCAAAAATAAAACAGGAGCCATACCTTCTCACAGTACGTAGCTTGTAGGCTGGTGTACAATATTGCCTTTTGGGAATCAATGACCACAAAAAAAACCAACCCCAAATCCCACAGACTTTTGCAGACCTCTTCTATCCAAATTTCAACCCTATTTCGGTTCCTAGCGTCAGGGAAAGCGGAGATGGCCTTTGCTTTCAACTGAACTCCTGGGAGGATCCACTTTGGGTTTGGTGGTAGTGGTTTTTGTGTTTGCAATTGATAGTAAATCATAATTTCATACAAATTTTTAAAATATGAATTCACATGCACCAAATTTTTGTGCAAAAATAAAACAGGAGCCATACCTTCTCACAGTACGTAGCTTGTAGGCTGGTGAGTAAATAAATAATTCTTTTCAACTACTTTTTTGAAGTAACATTTGTTTAAAGGCATCTGTTATTCTCTTTGTAGTGATGAATGAAAAAACTAAGTTTGATCAAAGTGTCAACATTTTGAAGAAAATGTAGTTTTCACCCAAATCCTTTGGTAAGTAAATAAATAATTCTTTTCAACTACTTTTTTGAAGCAACATGTGTTTAAAGGCATCTGTTACTCTCTTTGTGGTGATGAAAAAAATAAGTTTGAGAAAAGTGTCAACATTTTGAAGAAAATGTAATTTTCACCAAAATCTTCTGGTGAAACTGATGTGACCACCTAAATGGTCACCCTCATCTCTTGGTTCAAATATCTTTCTGTCTAAATATTTCATCTGTATGACATGCTTGTAGTGGAAAGAGCAGGAGGAGGGTAACCAGCATCTCACAGAATTAAATAGAGTCACTGCAGTCCATAACAAAATAAGAAAGTCTGTAACAAAAGAAGAATTAGATAGAGTCGCTGCAGTCCGTAACAAAATAAGAAAGTTGGTAGGTTGAATATTAGGCGAGACCATCAATTGCCTCTATAGAATTGGGAAGAAAAATGTAATGAGAACGAGAGAGACCAGTTTTATTGACTGAATAAAAAGAAAAATTTCTTAAACCTTCTCAACCTGACAAGGAAAGAGGCTGCAGACACCAGGAAAAGGTCAGGATTCCGTATGCAGAATAGAAGCAGCACCGAATGCAGATCTTCCACTGATGCTTGAGGGA